AAGAAAGACCCTGTCTCCAAACACAAATAAACCAACAAAACTCCACCTTGAGAAATTCTCCTAGGTTTTCAGACTAGAAATAATCCTTCATGGCTTTGTTCTGCCCTCTGGGTGTCAGTACCAACCTGGGTATTAGTCATCTTTCCTAAAATGGCTCCTGTGAGAACCTATTAGAACAGTTAGCTCCAGCATCCTGCCAATTTTACTGTATTGTGTTGTTTATTTACTTTTTTTTTTTTTTGGTTTTTCGAGACAGGGTTTCTCTGTGCAGCTTTGCGCCTTTTCCTGGGACTCACTTGGTAGCCCAGGCTGGCCTCGAACTCACAGAGATCCGCCTGGCTCTGCCTCCCGAGTGCTGGGATTAAAGGCGTGCGCCACCACCGCCCGGCCTACTTTTTTTTTTTTTAAAGACAAGGCATCACTCTGTAGCCCTGGCTAGCCTGGAACTTGTAATATAGACCAGAAAGATCAGCCCGCCCCTGCCTCCCCACATCTTGATATGTGGCCCAGGCTGGAATCAAACGCCCCATCTTTTTGCCTTGGCCTCCCTCTCCTCCACAAGGTAAGAAGAGCCTTCTGCCATCCTCTTTTTCATAACGCCTCTCTTAACAATTTATTCACCTGACGTCTCCACTAACAGACACTGTGTATAAAGCAGAGACCTCACCTTTATTTCTTTCTCTTCCCCAGACACCTAAAACAGTGTCTGGAACATAAATCGTGCTCAATAAATACTTTGTGAATAAATTGAGTTAAACGTAAAATAGGAAATAAGGCACTGGCGCGCGCACACACACACACACACACACACACACACACACACACACACACACACACACACTCATATGTTCATACCCTAATCACTGGAACCTGCTAAGGTTAATTTATATGGCAGAAGCCTTGGAAGATGTGAAAATTTACAGACTCAGCTGAGAGAGTCTGCTCTACAATTATCATCTGTGGACCTGTGCAACCGAAGAGGGCTGGCGATGTAGCTTGATTGTTTGGGTGGGTTCTATGCAATCATGAAGGCATTTATTTTTGTTTGCTTTTTGAGACGGGATTTCCCTGTGTAGCCCTGGCTGTCCTGGAACTTGCTCTGTAGGCTGGCCTCAGAGATTCGCTGCCTCTGCCTCCCGAGTGCTGGGATTAAAGGTGTGTGTGCCACCACACCAGGCCCTACAAAGGTATTTCTAAGAGACACAAAGAAGTTACTGCTCGAAAGTGGCAGTGAGACTGATGTGCTTGCAAGTGGAAGATGGTCCACCAGCCAAGGGATACAAGCGACAGTTGGACCTGAGAAGGGAACAGAGCCACCAGCAGAAAGCAGTTCTGCACACCCTGCCTTGGCTGAGTGACACTGGCTTTGGACTTCTCACCTCCAGAACTGTAAAATAGTAAATGTGGGCTGTAAGCCTCTAAGTGTGATCATTTGATGAGTAATAGAAAGCACATGCTTGCAATCCCAGCACCAAGGAGGCTAAGCTAAGAGAAGTGGCATAGGTTTGAGATCAACCTGGGCTACACGTTCCATGGGACAGCAGTGACACCTAGAATTCTTTATAAAAATGCTTCCTCTCTAGTTGTGACTGTAGGCAGCTAAGTCTACCAAGCCTTGGGAGAACCAATTCATCTGTTAATCTCTTTTTTTTTTCCTTTTTTCTTTTTCTTTCTTTTTTCAAGGCAGGGTTTCTTTGTGTAGCTTTGGGGCCTGTCCTGGAACTCACTCTGAAGCCCAGGCTGGCCTTGAACTCACAGAGATCTGCCTGGCTCTGCCTCCCAAGCACTGGGATTAAAGGTGTACACCCACCCCCACCCCACCCCCACCCCCACTGGCCTGTTAATCTTTCTTTTTTCCATATCACCTTGATGAACTGAACAGCTTTGTTGAGAATCACTATGAAGGCTTTTTACAAAAGGCATGAACTGGCTGGGTGGTGGTGATGCCCGCCTTTGATCCCAGCACTCAGGAGGCAGAGGCCGGGATCTCTGAGTTTGAGGCCAACTTGGTCTACAGAGAGAGTTCCAGGACAGCCAGGGCTACACAGGGAAACCCTGTCTTGAAAAACAAACAAAAACAAAACAACAAACAAAAGGTATGAATTATACACTTGATATGGCTTTGTCACAAGGATGAATTTTAATAGTTTATGTGTTATGGTATGTGTGTATGTGTGTGCATGTTCATCTATGTGTGAGTGAATATAGAGGTCAGAGGACAACCACCTTCCACCTTGTTTGAGACAAGGTCTCTTGTTTACCAGGCCAGCTGGCTCTGAGGTTCTTGCGGCCTCTCCTGTCTCCAACTCCCGGCTCACCAGAGCTCCACGGGATGGCCTGTGTGCACATACGCTTCACGTGAGTTCTCAGGATTTGATCTCCAGTCTTCAGGCTTACGTGGCAAGTGATCTGCCCAGTCCCTGAATTTGTTGCTCGCAACCCTCTCAGCTTATCCCCACCCGCACCCTCTTGAGACAGTGTTTCATGTTTCCCAGGCTGGCCTCAAACTGAGGATGACCTTCAGATGACCTCCAGGGCTGCATAGCCAGACCTCACTACCTTTCTCTTTCCTTTTTTGTTTATTGATAGACAGGCTTGAAGCAGAGCCCTGGCTAGCCCGCTGGGACTTGTTATGTAACCCACACTGGCCTGAAACTCATAGTGATCCTCCTGTCTTAGCCTCCTGAGTTCTGGGATTACAGGCATACACTACCATACCTGACTGTAAATGACAGCTCCCTGGATAATGGTACTTGCCTCCAAGTCTTCCACGCTGTGGAAGGAGAGGACTGTATGTAGTCTTTTGAGTTGTGCTCTGACCTCCACACGTGTGTGCACAAAAAAATAAATAAATAAACAATAAAAATTTAAAGACAGACATCCAGTCGTATACATTGTAGAAGTCCAGATCTCGGTTGGTGTCTAGATCTGTTTGCTCTGAAGGCAGCATGAGAAATTGGACAAAGGCAGCCAACAGAAGTGAGGTGGAGATGGAGGTGTCTGGGACAAAGACGTAAAACAGGGAAGCCTGGAGTCCCCAGAGACAAATACATGTGGTGCTCAGGCAGGACCCCCGGGCCCGGCTTCCCCATCCAGCAGTCATCTAGTTAGCGTCTGTTCCCGGAACAACGAGGGCTCTTTCCTGTGAAGTCCCCATTCACTCCCCTGCCATTCCTCCACAAGCCCAAGACCTCTGTGGAGATTTACCTTGTCCCTTACACTCGGTGACTCTACTACTTTCGGGTGTGTCAGGGGACTCACGTGATGCCCCGCACATGACCACTCTATGCTGAGGGGAGGGCCGCTCCCTGGACACCGAACAACCCTGGTGCTCCTCAGGGAAACCTAGGCTGTCTAACCAACCACTGCTGCCCAGTTGAGATCAAAGCACATCCCATATGCAGACAGCAAGAAGCATGCAGCCTAAGGCCAACACTCCAGCTGCTGGCTGGCCGCTATCCACTGAAGACCGGCAGGGGTCCACTTGGCCAATCCGTTTCTATCCCTCCCCAGATAGTCAGGAAGCATACCAGCCTGCCTCTTCTAGCCCTTTCAGGACTCGGGAGCGGGTCAAGAACCACTGAATCTAACCAAGCCTGAGCCAGGAGCGGCTTACTCCTGAACCATGTGTTTTCACAAAAAGCTACATTCTTCTCTGGAAACTAGGCACCTGGAGGGCAAGCTCTTGAAAATTCAGAATCAGGGGCCAGCGAGATGGTTCAGCAGGTAAGAGCACTTGCCACACAAATCTGACAACTTAAGCTTGACCCTGGAACCTACAATGGAGGAAGAGAACCTATCCCTCCAAGTTTAACCTCTGACCTCTGCATGCATGCCTGTGTACATACACACACACACAAAAAATTTTTTTTGGACAGGATTTCTCTACGCAGTCTTGGAGCTTGTTATGCAGACCAGGCTGGGCCCAAACTCAAAGAGATCCACTCATCTCTGCCTCCTGAATGCTGGGATTCTTTTTTCCCCCTGAGACAGAGTCCTTCTAAGTAGCTCTGAATAGCTTGGAATGTGCTATGTAGACCAGGCTGGCCTTGAAAAAGAATCAGGGTCTTCAACTCATGTGCCTTATAAAAAAAAAAAAAACAGGCTCCAGGATCCTCTGCCTACTTCCACTGGATAATCCCCATAAATCAGGCAGCTACTATGGGGTTATAGGTCTCAAACATTCCTCTTATAAAAGGCAATGCCCATCTCTGGTCACAGGACCTGGCCTGCTGGTTCCTGTGCCTGGCAACTTCTTTTTTTTTTTTTTTTTTTTTGTTTTTTTGAGACAGGGTTTCTCTGTGTAGCTTTGCGCCTTTCCTGGATCTCGCTCTGTAGACCAGGCTGGCCTCAAACTCAAAAAGATCCGCCTGGCTCTGCCTCCCGAGTGCTGGGATTAAAGGCGTGCACCGCCACTGCCCAGCTGCCTGGCAACTTCTTATGCTGCCTGTCTCTATTATGTTTAACATTCCACATAAATGTCCCCACTGAGAACTAGTCTTCCTGTCTGGTCATGAGTTTCTCAAGATGTCTTTTCCTCTTGGCCTCAGGCATGCCACTGGTACCTCTCACACACACACCTCACCCATGTCCCGGCATTGGACTAGGCAGCCTATTGTTTCAGGGATGTGCATCCCCGCTGTGGGTGCTAGCTCCCCCTGGCCCACCTCACCCACCCTGTGGGCAGAGCCAGCTGTGGCTGCGCTTCCACAGAAGTCTGGTCTGCACCAGGCGGTGGTGGCGCACGCCTTTAATCCCAGCACTTGGGAGGCAGAGGCAGGCAGATCTCTGAGTTCGAGGCCAGCCTGGGCTACAGAGTGAGTTCCAGGAAAGGTGCAAAGTTACACAGAGATCTAAAAACAAACAAACAAAAAAACCCCAGAAGTCTGGTCTGAGCCTGTCGAGACCGGGTCCAGTACCAGCAATGGCCGGAGAGAAGGGAGGACGGATACTTGGAGGCCTGGGCCAGTCTTTCCAGGAACGCACAGGCACAGGCGGCGTCAAGCTTTTTTGTTTTTGTTTTTTTAATTTTTTACAAAACCATGTGTCCCAGACAAACAGGACACTGCAAACTCTCTCCCAGGCATTGTGGTGTGAAGGGAGGGCTCCATGAAGGAGCAGCTGCCAACCCCAGAAGAACCATATGCCCCTCTGCACAAGGGCCAGTGTGAGGGCGGGTTCAGCTGGAGGCCTGCCCTGCTCCACACATGCTGGGTCTCTGGCTCTCCCAGTCCTGCAAGGGAAGGAGAAAGAAATGGGTCCGACAGGAGGCAGCAAGCCTGGTGCCAGGGACGGGGCATGCCCACCACATCTCACCGAGAACATGTGGCACTATCCAATGGTTATGGTGATGCCAATGATGACAGCCAGGATGAGGACAGTGACAGAGACACAGATGGCAATCATGACTTTTTTCTGTGGGAGAGGAAGGGTCATGGAGAGTCCCTCTGGAGAGCCCAAGGCTGGGGCAGGAGACGAGGCTTACCTTCCTCGCCTTCTTCTGGTTCTCTAGGGCTATCTTGACATGCTCCTGCCCACGTTCCACATAGTCTGCTGAGCTCAGGATGTTCTTCTCAATACGGTTGATCATCTCCCCCTGCTCAGAGAAAGGGACAGTTCGGAGAGGGAGGGATCACCAGGCATGGAGGCCGGGAATAGTTACTGAAATAATCGACATTGTTGTTTTGTTTTGTTTTTTTTTTTGAGATAGAGTTTCTCTGTATAGCTCTGGCTGTCCTGGAACTCGATCTGTAAACCAGGCTGGCCTCGAACTCACAGAGATACATCTGCCTCTGCCTCCCGAGTGCTGGGATTAAAGGTGTGAGCCACCACCGCCTGGCTAGTCAAGACACTCTTGGCAGAAAAAACCTACGCTAACAAAGGTGAGGCAGGACGAGAGCTGACCAACGTTCAGTGTGAGCATGGTTTCCAGGCCCCACCACCGCCATGTCCCTTCTCTCTGCTCCTTTGTCCCATATACCCTCCATTTGCAGTGGAGGCCTGCAGCCAACGCCTCACATGGCTAGTACCTTTTTCATAGACAGTAAACTTTCGTCTCGATGTACCCATTCTTCTAGGCCTGTCTCATCCCTCTCCCTGCCTCCTCCTGGCACTGCCAGCTTTGGCTCTGGTATTCCCACGGGATGAAAGCCCTTCCCCATGACTACCACCTGCAGCAGAGAACAGCTGCAGCGCTGTGGAGTTCAGCTCAGGAGGTCAGGACAAGGCTGGAAGCTCACCTTGACCCCTACAGCCAGGCCTAAGAGTGCCGTTCCAACCTTCGAGAGACTAAGGTTGGCCCTCTAGGGACAGCTTTCCACCGCTCTAACAGCATGGGGTGGGGGGTGCGTGGGCCTCTTTCACAGGAAGAGAAGTCATGATCAAGGCCATGCCTAGGTGATGGGCAAGCTGGAGGCGCAGGTGGGATGCTATGTATAAAGGAGTGACCATCAGGGTAGATGTGGAGGTGGGTAGAATTTGGCTAAGCATGAAGTGGGGACCACCTGGGAGCATGCCTGAGCTTGGAAGAGCATAAAAGCCCAGGTGAGTGTCTTAAGGGTGGAGCTTAACTCCAGGTCACAGCTAGGGCTTCAGGTTGCACAGGGCTTCCTTGGGCACCCACCTGCATCTCCACCTCGGTTGCTAGAAAAGTGAAGATCTCGTGGAGTTCACGGATACTGCGCTCTAGCTGCTGGATCTCACTGTGTCGTGCTGAGATCTCATTCAGGGCCTGGCGTGTCACCTGTGTGTCCTTCAGTATCTGGAGGGCAGACAGGAATTGGAGAAGATGTCACAGGGAGACCAGCAGCGGGTCCAAAGTTTCTGCTGAGCTTCTGGAACAGCCCTCTAACCTATGACCCCAGCATTCTAATTCACTCCCGTCTGGGCCCTGGTCTGCCCTCCATACAAAGAAACCAGGACTCAAAGATGGAAGGCCCACAGAGGGATGCTGGCCGGGGCCACTTACGTTGGAGACAAACACTTCGCTCTGCCCGCTGTCCAGCATCTGCTCCAGCTCCTCGTCAGACACCATTCCTGCATTGGCTGTAACAGGAAAGGCAAGTTCAGAGCTGATTCGCACTCCCAAGCCCGGAGGGCGGGCCGGGTACCCCAACTCACTGATCTTCAGCTGCCTCCGAATGCGCTCCACGTTCTTCTCCCGGTATTCCGACTGCATGGAGTTGCACTTGTTGATGAGCTCAACAAATTGCTGGGACAAGACCCCGTGCTAAGAACAGAAAGTCCAGCGGGGCATCAGCAGGAACCACGTGAGGCTCTAACCACCTTGGGACCTCAGCAGACTCTCTCACTCCTCAGCACGAAAACCAAAGGCCTTACCAGGGCCCCCATGATGCCCGTGACTCTGCCTCCTCCCACCCACTCCTCACTAGGTCCTCTCTCCTTCCTCCCCAGTGGTTTCTTTCTCAACAAAACATGCTCACACCAGCCTTTGCACACGGCCCCTTCTGCCTGCCTAAAATGACCATCCCAAGCACCTTTAAGTCTTCGATCATTTATTTTTAAATTTTTTATCATTATTTTATGGGGATGGGCATTTTGCCTGCATGATCATCAGTGCACACGTGCCTGGTGCCTGTGGAAGCCAGAAGGTGTCAGACCCCTGAAACTGGAGTTAGAGAAGGCTGTGAGCCACCGAGCGGGTGCTGAGAATTGAACCGGGTCCTCTGGAAGGACAGCTGGTACTTTAACTGCTGAGCCAGCTCTCTAACCCCATCCTACTTATTTTTGTTGGTTAGTTGGTTGTGAGACATGGTCTCACATAGCTCAGGTTGGTCTTAAGCTCATTAAGGGTGACCTTGAACTCCTTGACCTTCCAAGTGCGGTGATCACAGGTGTGCACCATGTCTGGCTTCACCTCTTTTTGAGTTTTTAATTTCGATCTTATTTATTGATTATTATTACTATTATTTGGTTTGAGACAGGATCCCATGTAGCCCAGGCTGGCCTGCTATCATCCCAGGGTGCACCAACAGGGAGCTTTTTTTTTTTCCTCTTTTTCCTTTTAAAAATGTTTTTAAAAATACATATTTTAGTGCGTTTATCTGTGAGTAGTGCTGGTGTTCGAGGCGGTCGGAGGCCTGCCCCTAGAGCAGGAGTTACAGATGGTTGTGAGTCACCCAATGTGGGTGCTGGGATCAGCTGAACTCAGTTCCTCTTCGGAAGTGATACATGCTGAGCCATCTCTCCAGTCCCTGGATTGTACGTTAATATATTTCTCTAGTGTGTGGGCATGGGGGAGGGCACGTGTGCCACAGCAAATATGTAGAAGTCAGAGGACAACTTGCAGGAGTCAGTTCTCTTTTGACCACATAGATCTGGGACTGAATCAGGTTATGAGGCTCAGAAGCTGACATCGTTACCCACTGATCCACCTGCCAGCCCCTCTTCTCTTGAATTCTATCTATGGGGCCAAGGATGTCCTTGCTTGCCATTTTTTCTTTTTATTTATTCGTTTTTTTGGTTTTTCAAGACAGGGTTTCTCTGTGCAACAGCTCTGGCTGTCCTGGAACTGACTTTGTAGACCAGGCTGGCCTAAAACTCACAGAGATGCACCTGCCTCTGCCTCCACATCTGGCTCTTTTTATTATTATTTTTAATTTATGTGCATTGGTGTTTTGCCTACATGTATGTCTGTGTGAGGGTGTCAGACCCTCTGGAACTTGAGTTACAGACAGTTGTGAGCTGCCATGTGGTTGCTGGGAATTGAACCCGGTCCTCTGGAAGAGCAGCCAGTGCTTTTAACTGCTGAGCCACCTCTCCAGCCCCGCTCGCCATTTCTTCCTTCTGTCTCTTCTTCCAAGTCCTACATGAGGAATATCTTTGTTCCCTATTCAGTTCAAATTCCCCATTTCAGTTTTGGGAACTCATGGCTCTCACAGCCAGGCCTAAGTCATGCCTGACACAGCAAATTCGCTTTGAATGGAGGAGGCACGGTGCTCTGACAGATTGAGCATTTTGAGACTGGGATCCTCTACCTATACCAAATTCTTTCTCTGTTAAGCATTAGCTTCTTCCCATGGAAAATCTTCAGAACAGAGATCCCAGAATCAAGGTCTCTAAGGGCTGCACAGTCACCATTTAGTAACCTAAGAAACACTTGATATAATTTTAAACTATTCCAATAAAGCTTGAGGAGGAAGGGGAAAAAAAAAAAAGAAACACTTGATAAAATGCCCTAGCTCTAGGAAAACAAAACCCACCTGGGTTTTTTTCATTCTTGTGTTGACTGAGTTATAATTCTCATCAGCTTCTTCCTTCTGGGGCTCTATGGCTGTGGGAGAAATACAAGGGTTGATGGGGGGGTCTGCCTTGAGACTTGTAAAAATTGGAAGGCCAGCTTATCTCTGTATGGGCTAGCCTGATCTACATATTGAGTCTCAAAAAAGATAATACAAAGTTTAAAATATATAATAAAAAATTTTAAATGAATTAAAAAAATTGTTTGGGGACCAGAACACGGGGCCACACCTACATTCCAGCTATATAATAAGGAGGTTCTTATCTTCACAGAATTTTTATTACAAAGTGACTTATGAGCAGGGATGTATTTTAGCAGTAACACATAAGGATGAAGGAGGAAGAGAGGAGGAGGGAAAAAAGGAACCAGGAGGAGAAAGAAAGAAGAAGGGGGTGAGATCAGCCAGCTGGGCACAGTTGGGGCAGGCCTTTAATTTAATCTGAGCTCTCAAGAGGCAGAGACAGATGGATCTCTGGGAATTCGAGGGCAGCCTGGTCTACATAGGAGGAAGAAGTGGGGGAGGAGGAGGCTAATTCTGAACTTCTAAGAGAAGGTTTTCTTTGTATTAATTACATCAGTGGGTTCCCACAAGTGTGAATAAGCCTCCTAAGAAACTCCTCAAATTTAAAATAATAATAAAGGAGTCTGAGAGGCCAGCATGTGTTATGAAAAGTACCACGGCTTGGATGCCACAGGGCAGAGATCCTAGACCCAGGCACGCTGTGTGACCTGGATTGTGTAGGCAACAACTCCCCCGATATACCAACAAGGCTGAATCACCGGGGATGATCTGGCTGAGGCCCTTGAAGTTCATTCACCTTTTAGCTGTGCCCGGACCTCTCTCCCCAGCTGTTTGATCTCCTCGCGCAGGTTCTGCAGGCCCTGCTTCATGCCTAAACGAGAGAAGGCCAACACTTCCAAACCACAGCCTCTACCACAAACCAAAACCAAACCCACCCTGGCCATCATCTATGTAAAACTACATCCCCCATAATCCACCGGGCTGCCGTGCGTGAGCCCGGATTTCGCTTACTCTCCTCGGGAAGGGGCGTGGCCAGGATGGTGACCTGCTGTTTCTCCAACTCCCGGACTTTACTCTCCAGTCTGGCCATAGTTTGCCGAATTGTCTGGACCTACGGAGGATCATCAAGGGAACTGAAGACATCAGTGGTACTCTAGTCATCCCTACTCCTCGGTCCTCCGGACCTTACCTTCTGGAAGAACTCATCATCCGGGCTGCCCAGCCGGGCGGTACCTGGGTGCACCACCAGCGCGACTCGAACCTCATCTTCATCGTCCGAGCTGTTATCCCCCTGCCAGGGCCGGAGTCATTGGCACCACTTGCTCGCTGCGGTTGTCGTCCCGCAGGAACCATGGGCTTCCGGGATTTTCCTTCCTGGCCATCAGCCACCCATCCCGGACCCCAAACCAGGAGTCCTCGATCCAAGCGCGCCTGCCCGGCCCCGGCTTCTCCTTCCAGCGCGCCCTCCCGGCCCCAGTTTCTCACCTGCCTCAGCTCATGGGTCCTGTCGCGCATGGCGGCCGGAGCGCCCCGTCCCTGGAACTGAGCCCCAAGGGCCTCGAGGTTCTAAGTTTGGAAGTCCTGCACCTCTCTCACACTTGACACCCCCTTCCTCACCCTGCGAACCCCAACACTCCCACGAGCCTCCAAAGGTCCCGCCCCTTTCACCATCCACAGTCGCCGGGAAGAACCCGACCATAGGACCCCCCCAAAGTTCTACAGGTTGGAATTCCCTTCTCTTTCCCCCATCCTGCTCCCGCAGCTGCAGCCCCGCCCCTCGGTGGATGATTCCGAGCATGCGCACGAGGTCCTGTCTCTTCCTCGCTAGAGGGAGAGGCGGAGGTCGGAAGCAGTTGCAGCCGAACGGAAGCGAGGCTGCCTGGATCGAGAGCCCGCCCCCCCTCTTTACCGGAACATCTCATATTGGAACTGAAATCTAGTTGCCCAAAGGATTTGGAATGCGTCATTTGCACGCAATCTGAGAGCCTCGTATCTCACATCACCCCATGGCGCCCCCTCATCACGTGACAGATCAGACCCAGCTCCGCGGGCTGCACGCCCGACAGCCAGTCACGTGTTCCGGCGCTGTCAGCGATGTCTCGGACTTCAGTCTCGCGACGTCCCCGATACCCCTGTGTCTGAGCTGTGCCCCTCCAGCTTCTAGGAGGTGGGGAGGGGTACACTGCCCACTCTCAGCTACCTACTGAGGATACCCTTGTAGAATTCACTTTTTGTTTTAATTTTGGGTCGTAGGGCGTGGGCAAACTGAAGGCTTACATTTGGGGGCTGTCAGTATCATGAGACCTTGGAAGTCAGAAAATAATGAGATCCGAGTCTACAGCGTCAGAAGATTGCAGGGATTTGTAGGCAGAGAATCTGGGGGTGGAAAGTGACCTCAGCCAAGGTGGAGCTCCCCCCCCAGCACCCTGCGTCCTCCTGGCACAGCCTCTGACAGGTGGGCGGCCTACGCCCTGCATGAGCGCTGCAGTCCCGCTGAGCTCGCCTCCTTCAGAGCAGCAAGATGATTTCAGAGCAGCTCAGACCGGGAAAAATGTATCACCTCCGCAGCCCTGCCTTACGACTGAAGACCGACGATGACTTGCTTTTCTTTAACGGAATCCCCAGCACCAAATTCAGTGCTTGGCACATAATAGGCCCTCACAGAAGACTTGATCCCAATATGAGCCCTTCATGTATCTGAAAGTAAAGCCTGTGGCTTCCTGATCTTTAGGCTTCTCTCACTGTGCCATTTTCCCAGCTTTGTCTCTCTGGACATACATTCGCTTGCCGTGTTTATTGGGCACATACTATGGAACAGACAGTGTTTTAGGGACTGGTAACACATCAGGGACCAACAGACCAGAACCCCATGCACTTGTGAGGCTTCCATTGTATAGAAGCACCCCATTGTCCTTCAGCAGGTGCAGCCCAGCTAGAAATGCATATTAGATTTCCTGAGAGGAGGTTCAGCAAAGGAAGCAACAGTGTTCCCCCCCACCCCCCCACCCCCAGTGTGTTCCGGTCCAGAAGCCTGGATTTCTGAGTCTGCGTTGCTATAGACTTTTGGAGAGTCGTGTTTTGTCTCTGGACCTTGGTCTCCCACCTCTGTACTATATGTAACTGCACAGGAGTGGGGAAATCATCAAGACTGGAAACTGCTAAGTGCTGTGCTGTGTGACTGACCCCATGTGTGGATCCGGTGCTTTGATCCTTTTCCCTTTAGAAGGCAGCTTGCCTGGAGTTGGGAATGAGGGAGTGAGGATAATCCGGGCTGACCACACCACAGACGGAATACAGTGTTGGTGGGTTTCTCAGGAGGCCCAGCTCTGCCTGGTGTGGTCCCCTGAAGTTAATGTGGAGGAAACTGCCTGCTGTGGGGTATGACTTTCAAGGTCTCATGATGCTGACAGCCCTCAAATGTTAAGTCTTCAGTCTGCCTATGCCCCTAGGGCCCCCCCTGAAAAAAAAACAAAAACAAAAAATGAATTCTGCAAGGGTATCCTTGCATATTAGCTGCTGCCTCTTTAATGCTACTTGCCTCCAACTCATTCCCTCCCTCTGATTCTCTGGTTAGTATTACAAAGCGTGGAGGCGGGGGATGACTCTTGGATATCTGTCTCCTAGCCCTGTATGTGATCTTGAATGTTTCTTGTTTCCCTCAGAGATTCAATTTCCCCTTTTGACATCTTGGTCTGACAATTTCTTCCTTGCTAAGGGTAAGAACTGGGTGGCATCAGGAAAGGTTAAGGTTAGAAAAGATATGGTGGAGTCTTGCAGACTGCTAAGGCTTCTCTTTTCTGGGCATTGTGGCAGCGAGTTTGTGAGTCCCATCTCTCTCTGGGCCTTTCAGCCACATCTGCCCGTTTCCCAGTCTCTTGGCCTCCGGCTGCAGTGTGGAGTTTTTGGTGCTTCTGATAAAGCATCTCAGGGTTATAACATACACTCTTCTTTCATTTGTGGTCTCTGGGTGCGATCACAGGTATTAAGATGATAACTTAAGGTCGCAGGAGGCTAGGACCTCATTATTTTCTGACTGCCAGGGTCTCCGTGATGCTGACAGCCCCCAAGTGGAACAAAGAGGCAATTGGGTGGAGCTCCCCACCGCTGAGTGCTGTGTTCCTTCTAGGCCCTTCACAGCCTTGAATCGTGGGTTTATGTAGCGGGTGTTGGGTGTAGGTATCAGTGGAATACACATTCCTTCCATTCTGTCTGAACCCCAAGCTCTGCATGGTCCTGATACTTCACAACCTGTCCTGGCCTTGCTGCTTACAGGTCTGATCCTCCCAACCCCAGAGCCAGATGACCTGGGCTGGGGTCCCTGCTCATTCAGCTCTATGAGGCAGGTCATTTAACATTTCTGCTCTAGTTCCCATCTGAAAACAAACAAACAAACAAAAAATCAGAGAGAACAATAGCAGTAAGCTCCTAGTAACTGATAAGGATTAAATAAGAAACAAGACTAGGATGGTGCCTGCTCTGGGCTAACGTGTGTTTGCTGTTGCTGGACGGTGATGATGATGGAGACTGTTCTCTGAGGATCTCAGTAGCCCAGTGTCTCTGCCAGAGATTCCACTCTGCCACTCGTCCAGATCTTCCTTCCCTTGCCATCTCCTGAGCCCCACTGTGCACCAGGTGCTCGGGTAGCAAACCTGCCAATCCTGTACATTTCTGCACCTCTCAGGCCCTATGTTTTGCTTACCACTAGAATATAAACTCTATGAAGACAGGAATTTTCACCTACTTTATTCACTGCTGGGTCCCCAGTACCCCAATGGTGCCTGGCACATACTATCTGGTCATGAATGAATGAAAGTCTTCCTTTTGCATTTAATATTTGTATAACACATTTAATATTTGCACAAGGCACCGATATAAACATTTTATCATTTTAATTCATTGAGGTGGGCATGGTAACACATGCCCCATAATCCCAGCACTTGAGAGGTAGAAACAGGAGGATGAGGAGTTCAAGGCCAGCCTCAGTTACTTAACAACTTTGAGGCCAACGGAGGTTACATGAAACCCAGTCTGAAGAAACAAAACAAGGGCTATATATGGTAGCTCAGCTGTTGGAGCCCATGAAACAAGCATGAAGCCCTGGGTTTCACCCTTAGCACTGCATAAACCAGGACAGTGGTACCCACTTGTAATCCCAGCACTCAGGAGGAGGAGTCAGGAGAATCAGAGGTTCAAGATCACCTAAGCTACATAATGAGTTTGAGGTCTGCCGGGGCTACAAGAAAATCGAGGAAAAAGGAAAGCATTGGAAGGCACATGACAATTCTGTGAGACAGAAATGTTGTCTTTCTTTGCCAGAACAGGAACCTAGAATTGATGTGCCCAAGGTTACATGGCTAGTATGGCCCTTGTTGGGATTTGAAGACAGAAGGTCTCTAAGGTCTGTCCTCTGCGGCGGGTTGGTTTTGTTGTTGAAGTTTCTTGCTGGGTACCTGTACAGCAGACAGACTTGGCTAGAGGGGGCTGTGGGAAATGAACTGTTAGGCAGGACTTTCTCCCGTCCTCCTTCAGGTGTTTAGTTTTTGAGGTAGGGTCTTGTGTATGCAGGCCTGGAGCTCACTGGAGAGCAGCATGATTAGAGTAGTGTGCTGGGGTTACAGAAATGTGCTGCCGTGCCCAGGGTTATGCATTGCTAAGGACTGAACCCAGGACTTCGCGCATGTGCGGCAAGCACTCTGCCTAGTCCCAGGGTCTGTGCTTATAACTAAGATCATCAGCTAGGGACTGGCACTCAGTGTTAAAGTACTTGGCTCACATGCACAAGGTCCTGAGTTCAAGTCCCAGCAGTCCCAGCAGTTAGAAGGGAAGAGGAAGGACTGTTCCACCGTCCCCAGGGATGCCACCTGGTCCTGCCCTGCTTTGTCCCATGGAGGGAGGGACAGACAGTGAGCTGGATTGACCCTCTTCTCTGTGTTACAGGTTCTCTCTCCCATACTTGCTGCGTCGGAACTGAGGCAGGCCTTAGTCTATGGCCCTCTCTCTGCCCGCTTTGTCCCCAGGAGCCAAGGATTGCCTCATCTCACACATGGCCTCTGTTCACAAGCCCTTGGGCCACAGAGACGAAACACCAGTGGTTCACTCCTCAGGAGTGTCCCCCTGCCCCCCAGGACAGGGTTTCTCTGTGTAGATTCGGAACCTGTCCTGGAACTCGCTCTGCAGACCAGGCTAGCTTTGAACTCACAGAGATCCACCTGCTTCTGCCTCCCCAGTGCTGGGATTAAAGGCATGCGCCACCACCGCCTGTCAGGAGTGTGTAAAGAGTTATCACTTAACCTCCCTCTGGAGTTCCACCCGAGACCTCCCATTCCTCAAACTACCCTCACTCTGTGGCTTGACCTGAAGTACATGCCGAGGCCTCCTAGTCCAAAGCACTAGCAGGAATGTCTCTTGAGTGAGCTCCAGGAATCAATAGGCCTCCTAGGGGTCTCGGCCTCGCTGTCCCTTCCTGAATATGGACCCAAACAGCAAACACTGCCTGCTCTGATAACCTCCTAAACTGAATCCTCTTCATCACATGCATGCCGTTCTTATCGGTGACACTGTGTCATCAGGCCACTGTTTAGTCCTTGGACTTTAGTCTGAAAATGATGGAGGGGACTACAGGTATGCAGTTCAGGGGTAGACCCCTTGTGCGTACACACGAAGCGCTGGATTTCACCCGACACTGAAAAAACAAACAAGCCCCCATACGAATGGGTTGTGTAACTTGTTAGAATAAGGTCAGTTAAAATGTTACAAGAAAAGTAACACTGAGGCCAGGCGTTGATGGCGCACGCCTTTAATCCCAGCACTTGGGAGGCAGAGGCAGGCAGACCTCAGTGAGTTTGAGGCCCGCCTGGTGTATAAAGTGAGTTTCAGAAGACCTCAGTGAGTTCGAGGCCAGCCTGGTGTATAAAGTGAGTTTCAGAACAGCGAGGGCCATAGCTGTGTAGGGAGAGCCTGTCTGAAAGACAAGACAAGACAAAAGGAGAGAAAGAAAAGCAACAACTGTAGGTAAGGGTGGGTTTGTGTGCTTGGAAGCTGAGCACTGAAGAGGCCAAGAAAAATGGTCATTGCAAGCTTGAGGCCAGCCTGTGTTATAGACCAAGAGTCTGTCAAAGAAGATAATGGGGAGGAGAGGGAGGAGGAAGAGGAGAAAACGCTTCACAGCTGTGTCAAAATAAAACATTGGCAGAACAGAAACAAGCAAAGTCAAAAGCCAAGCTGGAGAGTGTTATTTGTTCTCACCATACGCGAATGGCTATCACTCTACTACTTAAAGAGTTCCCACACACTGATAAAAAGCCCAGTTTAATTTTTATTTTATTATTTATTTACTTGGTTTTTTTCTAAGACTGGACTGGCCTCAAATAACAGAGATCTGCTTGCCTCTGCCTCCTAAGTACTGGGATTAAAGATCTGTGCCACTACACCCAGATCAGTTTAATTTTTAAAAATAGACAAAGAACAGGACAATTCCTCAAAACACGTAAGTCTTTTTTTTCTAGAAATCCATTTATTATATTTTGAATTTGTTGCCATTCTACTGGGGTTTGGCACACAAAATACATACATCTGTGTAAGCAACATCCATATCAACATGCAGAATATTTCAGAAGCCCCCACAGTGGAAGAGAAACTCCCAGTCCAACTTCTAATGCCTTAGTTCTCTGTCCACTTTCAGAGGGCATGGCAGGGGAATTCTGCAATCCCTGTTTGTGTGGGCAGACTTCCTTTGAGCTACATTTCATCTCTTAGATGCATCCATGCTGTCTGCGCTTGAAAACACGTAAGTCTTAAACACACATGTACATGTCCAATATCTCACCTAATAATAAAAAATAAAATCGGGCTGGAAACAGTGGCGTCGGCCTGTAATCCAAACACTCCGGAGGCTGAGACAGGAGAATGGTGAGTTTCAGACCAGCCTAGAGACCCTATCTATATATACTAAGCACTGGGGATGTAGTGCAGTGGGAGGTGCTTGTCTAGTGTGCACAAGGCTCTGAATTCAATGTTACAGCACCAAAAATGTAAACAATGCTGAAACACTATTATAAGTTAGACAAGATAATTAACTTAGATGGGCAAACAAGTTCTTCACCCATCATGTTGGGAAGGCAAAAGACACTTAATCACAATGATAAATAAATACCTGCTCTTTAAATATTTATTTATTATTCTATTCATTTGTTTGTTTGTTTTTTGAGACAGAGTTTCTCTGTGATAGCCCTGGCTGTCCTGGAACTCACTCCCCTGGCCTCGAACTCACAGAGGCCTGCCTCTGCCTCCCAAGTGTTGGGACTAAAGGAGTGCACCATAAACGTCCAGATTTATTACATTTTATGTATATGGGTGTTTTGCCTACATACATACATATATAAGTTGTGTGTGCGCACATGTTTAGTCCATGTGTGCCAATGTCATCATTAGCGTTCCTCAGCTAGACAAGCACCTGCCAGAGGCTCTGTCACAGGAGGGCCAGAGCTTCTACATAGGAATGGATGCAGGGAGGTATAAACATTAACACGATGCCATGATCAGATTTTCATGGAGCATAGATCCCATGGTGGCCACCACAGCTGGCTGTGCCAGAGAGTAACATGTAAAACACTAGAATAGAAGTGCCATTCACATTCCGAGTGTCATGTGTTTGAATATTCTTACAATCACCTGACATGCCAGGGAAAATCGAGTGCTGTGAAAAGATCTCTGGCTTTGGAGGTTGAGAGAGAAGTTAGGAATCAGAGGGACACACTGAGCCTGGGGGATGGAGAGGAACCTCCGCTGGAAGGATGGAGCCTGTCAGACATGGTCCCAGATAGAAGGGCAGGAGTCTCCGGGGTCGTGCCTAGGTCTCTCATTCTGCCTGTATTTCAAGTAAGTTTGCTAGCGTAAGAGAAAGACTTTAAAACAGTCTTGATTGTAAGTCATAGCAGTAAACTATGATGGAAATGTAGGGAATACTGTTTATAAAAATAAGAGCAAGCCTTTCAGGGCTAGGAAAAGGCGTAGTAGATATTTGCCTAATGTACAAAAACCGAGGTTCAATCCTAGGTTTTTGTTTTGTTTTTTGTTTGTTTGGTTGGTTTGTTTTGTTTTTCAAAACAGGGTTTCTCTGTGTAACAGTCCTGGCTATTCTGGAACTTGCTCTGTAGACCAGACTGGCCTTGAATTCACAGAGATCCGCCTGGCTCTGCCTCCCAAATGCTGGGATTAAAGGTGTGCGCCACTATGCTCGGCAAATTATTATTTTCAAGGTAACATTTCCTTTTAATATTTCATGTGTAGTGTGTTTTGCCTGCATGCATGTCTGTACCAGGTACATACCTGGTGCCCATGGAGACCAGAAAAGAATGTTGGATCCGCTGTACCTGGAGTTTCAGCCGATTATGAGCCACTCTGTTGGTTCTGGGAACTGAACCCATGTCCTCTGGAAGAGCAGCCAGTGTTCTTAATTGCTGAACCATCTTTTCAGCCCCTCCTCCTTCAGAAAGAATTATTTTAAAGATGTAGACTGGAGACTAACTCTCAGTTAAGAGCCCTTGCTGCTATTCCAGAGAATAGAGTGTTGGCACAAGCCTTTAGCCCAACACTCAGGAGGTAAAGGCAGATTCTCTATGAGTTTGAGACCAGCCTGGACTACATGGTGGGGTCAGCAGGAAGGTGATCTTGCTAGTAGTCAGCTAGCCTTGAACTCTTGAACTCTTGGGCACAAGAGAACCTCCTTCGCAGCCCCTCATGTAGCTGGGACTGCAAGTGCATGCTGCCGAGAATGACTATAAATTGTTTGATTTGTGACAAGATCTAACCATGTAGCCCAGGTTACCTCTTAATTTATGGCAATCCTCCTGTCTTCCATGTTGAGAATACAGACATAAACTACCACACTTGGCTAAGTATTTCAATTTAATGAAAGACTGTAAAGAAGTCCTAAATTAGAATTGTAGCATTGGCTCAGAAGTTAGCAGAGTATATTACTCTTGCAGAGACCAGAGTTCAGTTCCCAACACCAACACTGAGTGGCTCACAACCACCTGTAGCTCGAGACTTCATGGGCACTGCACTCACACGCACATATCCGCATGCAAACACAGATTGTCTTACTTGGGGTTTCTATTGCTGCAATGAAACACCATGACCAAATGCAAGTTGGGGAGGAAAGGGTTTCTTTGGCTTACACTTCCATATCACTCTTCATCACTGAAGGAAGTCAGGACAGGAACTCAAACAGGGCTGGAACCTGGAGGTAGGAGCTGATGCAGAGGCCATGGGCGGGTGTTGCTTACTAACTTGCTCTCTATGCTTTACTCAGCCTGCTTTCTTATAGAACCCAGGACCACTAGTGCAGGGATGGCCCCACCTACCGTGGGCTGGCTGGGTCTCCCCCATCAATCACTAATTAAGAAAATGCCTTACAGCCAGAGCTTATGGAGGCATTTTCTCAACTGAGTTTCCCTCCTTTCAGATAACTCTAGTTTGGGTGTCAAGTTGACAGAAGACTAGCCAGCGTACAGATATACACATAATTAAGAACAAAATAACTTTAAAAAGAAGTCCTAAATTAATGGTCTCTGCACCATGTAAGTGGACAGGGAAACTGGATGTTGGAAGTTATTAGTTCTCCAGAACACATCTAGAAAGGCAGGGCCGTAATTTAGTCTTTACCGTGTAACTGGGTTTTGTGGCACAGACATGCAGAAGGGCTCCTTTGGAGGCAGAGACCGGGTGACTAAGGGGATATTTGGCTTTATCTGGATGGAATGTCAGCTCCTGCTGGAGCAAGCTGCCTCAGCCCTTGTACTTTCATTTCCCAATCTATAAATGGAGATAATAGAAGTAACCTCAGACAGTCATTGGAAGAGTAAATATGCCTACAACATATTTAAAACAGAGCTTGGGGGCTGGAAAGATGGCTCAGTGGTTAGGAGCATTAGCTGCTCTTCCAGAGGACCCGGGTTCAATTCCCAGCAACCCATGGCAGCTCATAACTGTCTGTAATTCCAGTTCCAGGGAACCTGACAAAACACTAATGCACATAAAATAAAAATAAGTAAATTTTAAAAAACCTACAATTAAAAAAAAAAAACAGCCGGGCGGTGGTGGCGCACGCCTTTAATCCCAGCACTCGGGAGGCAGAGCCAGGCAGATCTCTGTGAGTTCGAGGCCTGCCTGGGCTACCAAGTGAGTTCCAGGAAAGGCACAAAGCAACACAGTGAAACCCTGTCTCGAAAAACCAAAAAAAAAAAATAAATAAAAAAAATAAAAAAACAAACAAACAAAGCTCAGTACCTGATGAGCACTATGTAAGAATGATATGTCACCAGCATCGTTACTATTTTAATTAGTAAATATTCTTTATTAATGTTTATGTTGGCATAGAAAGATCATCACTATTACTAATAATATTATAGTCACATTCAGGTTCATAACAGTTTGATGAGGCAATAAATGTGATGAGGAGAGGGACATAAAACCAAATTCCAAGGTCTGATGGGATAAACCTGGAAACAGGCTGAAATGATGGAGGAACAGGAAGGGGACACACCAGAGTCCCAGGCTCTTTCATGGCTGCTTGAACTGAGATCCCCTGTTGCAAGTGACTTTCATGATAATTTTCTCAGTGAGTCCTGTCTCTGTGCCCAAACCAGAAGGTGTCAGAGTTGTTTTAGAGCCTTAGACACTGGGGTTCAGAAAAGGCAGGCGCTCACTCCACAAGGCAGACCTGATGTCCACTTCACTCACCGCGGAAGCATGATGAGCACGGAGCAGAGCTTCCTTAGACACTAGCAGATGGATGCTCTGGCCCCACGGCTGTTCACATGTGCCCAGACAGGCAAGCTGAGGCAGGTGCTGTGCTGTGGATGGGACAGAGATTTAACTGAAAGTTCACAGGTCGATCAGCTGTGCATATGTGCTCCACCTGAACCACTGAAGCTTCTTTTTTTTTTTTTTTTTTTTTTTTTTGGTTTTTTTTTCGAGACAGGGTTTCTCTGTGTAGCTTTGCGCCTGTCCTGGAACTCACTTGGTAGCCCAGGCTGGCCTCGAACTCACAGAGATCCGCCTGGCTCTGCCTCCCGAGTGCTGGGATTAAAGGCGTGCGCCACCACCGCCCGGCGACCACTGAAGCTTCTTTAAGAACACAATCTCAGCCAGGTGGCGGTGGCGCACGCCTTTAATGCCAGCACTGGGGAGACAGAGGCCAGCGTGGTCCACAAAGAGAGTTCCAGGACAGCCAGGGCTACACAGAGAAACCCTGTCTCGAAACCCACCCCCACAGAAAAAGAGAAAAGAGAGAGAGAGAGAGAGAGAGAGAGAGAGAGAGAGAGAGAGAGAGAGAGAGAGAGAGAGGAGAATCTCTAGAAAGTAACCAAATCTCACAGTCTGTTTGTCTCCAAGGTGGATTTCCCTGTGTGGCCTTGACTGTCCTTGGAACTCTGGAGGCCAGGCTAGCTTCAAACTCAGAGTGCTGGAATTAAAGGCATGCTCCACCACACCCAACCTACATCTCTATAGTCTTAAATCACTCAAGGTTGGAGGGCTCTTTGTTTGTTTTGTTTTTGAAACATAACCTGGCTAACCTAATATCCAACAATTCTCAAACTCAATTGCAAAGAAGTCCTCAGAGGTAACTGCTAAGAACTCGGGTTCCTTAGTCCCAGGCCACATCTATGGAATCAGAATTTCTAGGAAAGAGGCTAGACAATCTAATAGGCTTTCCCTCGAACTCCATAGGAGTTAAGAAAAACTGGAGAAGCTAAGCTGTGAAGGCTATGATAGAGAAGGGACCTCCAGGAGGCAGGGGCTTGAGGAAAGGCGTGTGGGAATGAATGGCTTAAGACAGGAGTCAGGGTGTTTAAGAAATGGCAGCATGTGAGCGATGGGGGACAGGGACAGTTCTGAGCAGGGGCTGTCTGGTACGGTCACTCAGGTAGAGACTGAGAAAGAAATTGATGCACGATGCAGACTCACCTCATAGTTATTCGGTAGATTTCAAGATCCTGGAGGTGTTGAATGGAAGTCATAAAGATCTGGCGAGATGATACAGTGTTTGCCTCGCCTATTCAGGGGCATGGATCAATCCTGAGCACCACAAGCAAATAACACAAAAAGCAGCAGAAGGTCAACGAACAAGCCGAGCGTGGTGGCCGACACCTCTAAGGGATTCGTTGTCGGATGGATGAGTGTGCGTGTACCCTAGGGCGAGTGGAGGCCAGAGGACCACCTGCAATAGTGGACTCTGTCCCTCCACCATGGGTTCCAGGGGGATCTGAGATGGCAGCGACTGTCTCTCCCTGAGCCACCTTGCTGGCTCTGGCACACACCTTTAAATACAGCTACTTGGGAGGCTACAGGAGAAGGATAGAAAGTTCAGAGTCCACCTCAGCAAATGAGCAGTTCTCTAGCTCCAAATAAAAAATTAAAAGGAGAGGCTGGAGAGCTGGCTCAGCAGGTAAGAGCACTGGCTGCTCTTGCAGAGGACCCAGGTTCAGTTTCCAGTATCCATATGGTGGCTACAACCATCTGTATGTAACTCCAGTTCCAAGGGGTCTGATGCTGTCTGCTGACCTCCGTGGGCACCAGGCACACACATGGTGCACATTCATACATGTGACTGAAACATATGTAAAATAGGTATTATTTAAAAAATTTAAAAAGGGGGACTAGAGAGACAGGTTAGCAGTTAAGAGAGCATGCTACTCTTGCAGAGGCTCTGAGTTTGGTTCCCAGCACCCACGTCGGGCAGCTCACAACTGCCTGTAACTGCAGCTCTAGAGGATTCAATACCTCTGGTCTCCATAGGCAACTGCACTCACGTGCATGAACAGATAGATATACACACATATTAAAATAATAATTTCAAGAAAAAAAATTTAAAAAAAATAATAAATCTTGGCCAGGTATGATGGCATATGCTTTTGGGCAAGTGGATATTTGTAAGATTGAGGCTAGCCTGGTTTACATAACAAGTTCCAGGCCAGCCAAGGCTACATAATGAGAGCCCGACTCAAATAATAATAATAATAATAATAATAATCTTTAAAAGTAAGGACTTCAAATGTAGCCCAATGCTGAAGTACTCGTTCATCACACCCAAGGTTCCAGGTTAAATAAATAAATTCTTGTACAATGACAGAAGTGTCCTCATATCTCGTGTGTGCCAGTGTCCATTCACTCTATTCACTCATTCATCGCCTTAACAAACACTGTGTACTCACTATGTTCAAGGACCCACAAAACCACAGGGAAATTAGCAATGAGCACAATAGACAAAATCTACCAACTTCGTTGGGCTTATTTTCTTTGCCTTTCTGCCTGGCCAAGATGTGAGTCAGCATGCCTCTTATTCAGATTTCCGGTCAGCATCTACTTTGTACTTGACCTGTGTCAGTTCCTGGGAAATGTAGACAGCAGTTAGGCCTGTGCTGTGCTGGTGGCAGGCTGGAATCTGGCCTCACAGGATGTGGTGGTTTGAACAGGAATGGCCCCCAGAGCCGCATGTGTTGAATACTTGGTCCAAAGGGTGTGGCACTGTTTGGAGGTGTGGCCTCGTTAGAGTAGGTGTGACGTTGTTGGAGGAAGTGTGTCACTGGTGAGGCCGTCTGCTGCCTGTTGATCAAGATACAGGACTCTTAGCTCCTTCTCCAGCACCATGTCTGCCTGCATGCTGTCCATGCTTCCCACCATGATGCTAATGAACTAAACCTCTGAACTGTAAGCCAGCCCCAATTAAATATTTTCCTTTATAAGAATTGCTATGGTCACAGTGTCTCTTCACAGCAATACAACCCTAACTAAGACATAGGGTGAGCCGGGCGGTGGTAACACATGCCTTTAATCCCAGCACTCAGGAGGCAGAGGCAGGAGGATCTCTGTGAGTTTGAGGTTAGCCTGGTCTACAAAGTGAGTTCCAGGACAGGCTCCAAAGCTACACAGAGGGACCCTGTCCTGAAAAAAACAAACAAACAAAAAGACATAGGATGAAAGTGTGACTGTCAGAGAAAGGACTCAGTACTATGCCACACACAGCAAGAGGCTCAAAGATGTGTGGAGGCTCTGATTTCTTGGCAGGAAGGGAGGTGATGGGAAAAGGAGGTAATGTTAATGTAACCAAATGGTTTGTTTTAGAGACTTATTTTTATTTTTTATCTATGCATATTTTGTTTGCATGTATGTACATGTACCACATGTGTACTTGGTGCCTGAGGAGGCCAGAAGAGGGCATCAACCCTTCTGGGACTAGAGTCACAGATGGTTGTGAGTGCCACATGGGTACTGGGAACTGAACCTGGGTCCTCAGCAAGAGCAGCAACTGCTTTTAACTGTTGATCCATCTTTCCAGCTCTTAAAGATTTGTATTTAAGTGTGAGTGTTTTGTCTGTGTGTGTGTGTGTGTAAATGCACCACCTGGGCGCAGTACCCGTGGAGGCCAGAAGAGGGCATTGTATCCACTGGGACAGGCGATACAGGCAGTTGTCAGTGCCATGGGGTTGCTGAGATCCGAAGCTTGTCCTGTGTAGGAACACCCAGCGCTCTTAACTGCTGAACTGTCTCGACAGCCCATTTGTCTTTTTGAATCAAAGTCCCACTATATATCCAGGCTGGCTTTCAATCTGGCATCTTCCTGTCTCTGCCTCCTGAGTGCTAGTGTGGGAGGCGGGGGTACAATCATTAGCATACCCAGACAGCTTGGAGACAATCATCCCAGAACCCAGGGAGGAAGAGGGATATAAAGGAAAGGGCCTTCAAGAGGGAGGGTCGTTGAGGAAGCGTCCCTGGTGGTCCAGGTGGGAGGAAGTTGCTGAGAGCCCAGACTGAGCTGAGGTCGTGAGGATGGGAGGAAGTTCAGGATGTGGCCAACCAGGGCTGAGTGTAGAGCATTTACCCGGCATGTGACAAGCCAACTCCCATCTCCAGCATTAGGAGGGAGGGAGAAGCTGCCAGAGAGAGCTCCACCTGTAACACCGGACACACTGCTTAATCCTTTGGAGCGGGTTTGCTGATCTGTACACTTGGGATAGCAGGAGTGGTTAGGAGGTTGATGAGTTTCTGTGTAGCACGTGGGACATGACGGATACCCATGGCAGCAGCGCGGTGGTGGGGAGCCAGGGACGGAGTCTGCCTCCATGGAGTAGCTGGGTGGACAGAGATGTCAACTTTGATGGAGAACGGGAAGAAGCACTTCTAGCAGCCAAGGCTGACCCTGTGGGGTCCCCTCACCACAGTGCTGCCTTGCTCTTTACAGGTGAGCCCGACACCTCCGACTCGTGACTCTGTGCTCCTGGCCTCAGGCTACAGTAGGGCCTTCCTCTGAGAAGGATCTAGTTAGTTCACAGGGACAGGTGGATGCTACAGACACGAAGGTACTGAAAGGTGTGGTAGAGCAAGATGAGACCCTGGACTCGGCAGGTGATGTGTCCCTGAGTTCAGATGCCCAGCATCCACGTAAAAGCTGTGCAACAGCAGCACACATCTGTAACCCGGGGGCACAGAAGCACGGGGGCTCCAGGGGCTCTTGGTTAATCATTATAGCTAAAATGGTAAGCTGCGGGATCAGTGCATGATCTTATCTCAAAAGCTAAAAGTAAGGCGGAGAGTCAGGAGCCACCCACCACTGACCTCTGACCTGCATGTGTGCACACGTACACGTGAGCACACCTGCATACACATGCGTAGATGAAGTCAAAGGATTCCAAAGGAAGATGGGAACCTAGGCTAGCACCCAGGAACCTTGACTGAGGGTCACAGGACAGAGGAGGAGCCTGGAAGGAGGTGGGAGACAGACCCCGGAGGTTGAGGTGATGGGACAGGAGGCAGGCAAGGATACGAGGAGGGGAGAGTTCTCACAAGCAGGCCACTGGGTTTAGGAGCCGTTGAAGGTCAAGGATGTTTGGCCCTGCTAGGACACAGACAAATGGTGTCTCAGGGGAGTTAGCGGGTATTTGGCAAAAACAAGGTCAAAGCCCACCCCACTGGGAGTCCCAAGCCCACTGCCGAGGAAAGGAAGAATGAATGTGTTCTTAAGTGATGAGACGGAGCGAGGAAGAGAGGAGGGCTCCCTGGAGCTTCTGAGGCGCTAGATTCAAGATTTCAAGACTCAGCAGAGATCTTCCTTCCTTCTACACCCCCCACCCCCATCCCCGGTGTTGGGGGCTGGAACCCAGGGCCTTGCTGGCATGCTAGGCGAGCATATACCACGGAGAATCATCCGAGGCCAGGGTAAGTGCCATTTTTATCAGAACCATCTAAAATGCCAGACCGGAAGGTCCCCGCAGGTAGTGACCACCCTGTTCTTGTGGGTAGGCAAGCTGAAACCCACCAGTGCCAGGGCACTCCCAGGTAGGGTGACGAAGGATGTACAGAACAAGCCCCATGTCCTTCTCAGTAAGCAATAGCCACACACAGGGTCAGGCTTGTGGTTTCTAGTCCAAAGAGCCTCCTGCAGAGCCGAAGGGACAGGATAAAAGTGGTCCTGTGTAGGCTCACAGAGACACCCGTCCATACACTCTACCGGTATCTCCCAGGTTATTCCCTTAATTCACTGCCTTAGACCTTCATTCGGCTGGTCCATGCCAGCCGCCCGTTCACCCAGCATCCCTGTCCCTGCCTCTGCATCTCTCCCTGCTTCTTGGGCTCTGCCCCCGCCCCCCACACTTCTGGGCCTCCCCTGTGCCCCTCCCGTGGGTGCCCCTCCCTGGACTACAACCCCCAGGCGCCCCCAGCCCGGGGCGCTGCGCATGCCCCCTGCTCCCCGCCCCCTCCTGTTCCCCCTCCCTCCCTTCCTCCTCACCTCCCTCCGCCCCCCTCCCCCGCGCCTCGGCTCCCGCATCCCTCCATCCAACCCTGTGCCGCAGCCGCATCGCCACCGCAGCCCAGGCAGAGCCCAGTCGGCCCAGGCCCCTGCCTCTGCCTGGCCTCAGCTCCCCGCCCCCCCCGCCGCGCACCTTACCCTCACGTCCCTCGGAGGTCTAGTCCGGTGCCCCCAGACCCCGGCCTCCAGCACAGAGGCAGGAGGCAGACAGAAGCAGCGGAGGCGGGAGGACGAAGAAGGGGAGGAGGAGCCCGTCGCAGGATGAAGGATCGGACTCAGGAGCTGCGGAGTGTGAGCTAGGGGGTGGGAGAGGTGGGGAGGCGGGACCCTGTATTTGGGGAGCGCGTGGGGATGGAGTGGGGGAGATTCTGGGGCATGGGGGGCAAACGATAAGACTAGAGGTTGGAAGCCGGGAACCCTAACATCTCCGGGCACCTGATATCTCCAGTGAACCTGCAATTGGAGGACAGTGGCTGGATGGAGTTGAAGGCCATTAAGACACAAGGGGGCAGGAGAGGTCTCAGGGGCCTGGGCAGCCCGTATGCCCAGGGGGGCCCTGGGATCTAACCTGGGGATGGGAGAGAGTGAATGTCAAGAGAGGAATGGGGGACACCATCATCCCTGGAGCAGGTTTGTCAAATTGGACGGATGGAGGTGGTTACTGGTCAGGCCGGGCCCGGTAGGACCCAGATTTGGGATGCTATGGAGGGCACAGGTTGGGACTAGATGCTAGCACCTAGCAGTGAATGAAGTGTGTGTGTGTGTGTGTGTGTGTGTGTGTGTGTGTGTGTGTGTGTGTGCACGCAAGCGCACTGGTGTGTTGCTCCGTGGGGAGAGGGCACTGCTTACAGGGGGGAGTGTGGGGGAGAACTGAGTTCCCCTGGGCCAGAGCGTCAGCTGAGGTGACCCCAAAGGTGGGAGAGGAGAGGAAGATCCACCCACCAGGTCACCGAATTGGGTTGTGTGACATAGACCACACAGTGCTTGGGGGAACTGGGGCATGGGAGCAGCCAGGGGCAGGCTGCTGGCGGCCGGCCGGGGCCCAGGCTCCAGGAGGCTGGCCAGCAGGGCTGGGGGAGGACAGGTGAGGAGGTTGCAGGGGAGGCTGTTCTTTGGAGGGACCGCCATGGCCTCATGAGAATGGTTTCGGGGCAGGGAGGGCGCTGAAACCGTTTGGAGAATGACATGGGTCCAAGGAGGTTGAGGGAGCAGTCTGCTGTGTGGTGGCGGCCACTGGGCACTGTGTCCCGATCGAGTGGGCTATGCCAGAATTCCGAGAGACTGTTATTCCATCTGACAGATGAGGAGACTGAGGTGCAGGAATGGGAAGGGACTGCCCCAAGGTCATCAAGCCAGTGTCTGTGTTGGGCAGGTCAAATGGCTCAGGGGCCTCCGGGCTGCCCAGCTGACCTGGGGCTACACCTTCGGCCTTTGAAACACAGGTTGAGAGCGGAGACAAAGGGCTGTGCTGTTCGAAAGCCTCTAAAGGCTGGACTTGGAGTTGGGGACCCCAGGTCACAGGAGCTACCGGGGAGGGACACAGAAGCAAGGCACTGCCTGTGGAGGCAGGTGGAAGTGGGGAGGAAGGGGGAGCTGGCAGTTGAGGGGGGAGGTAGGAAGGATTATTTACTGCGTGAGGAGAACAGTAGTAGCAATGGCAAGTCAACTCTGCGTGCTTTATGGGAAATCACCTCTGATTACTGACAGTCCTGTGAGGCTGGTGTTAGCGTGATCTCATCTCACAGGAAAGGCCACAGAGGAACTTGGCCAAAGTTACATAGCTCGAAAAAGGCAGGATTCAAACCCAGACCAGCAGCCCCAGCATCCCAGCTCCCCTCCAGGTGCCGTTTGCAGAGCAGGTTGTCATGGCAATCCCATTAAATCCCAACCAACTTCCTGGTAAGGTAGACAGAGAGTCTGCCTCATCTAATATTTGGGAAAACGAAAGCCCAGAGGGTTTAAAGGGCTTCCCCAGGCCACACAGCTAAGCAAGGGAGAAAACAGGATTCGAACTCAGATCCCCAGCAGCCAAGAACATTCCATGATTCCCAAACCTAGAGAAATGTGATAAAGTGGGGGTGGAACTGTGGTAAAATTGCAGGGAGAGGGAGCCAAGAGTGGGGAGTACTCCTCTGAGTCAGGGCTCCCTGCCCAGAGGTGAGGAAACCTGTGGCCAGAGCTGTTGGGAGCTGGGGGAGGGGGGTGCGGGAGGGGGGGAGCCAGGTGGCCGAGGCAGGAGGCAAATGGAGGGCTGGGGCTGAGGGGGCTGGGTGAACACTGAAGGCCTTGCTGTTAGTCACAGCTTAGGGAGAGTGAAGGTTTGGGAGGGTGCAGGCAGGGTGGGGTAGGTAGGAGCTCCAGATGTCTGGAGTGTAAGAGTCTGTGCCAGAGTTGAAAGCCAAGCTATGGGAAAGCAGGAGAGACTCAGCAGGCCGGAGGACGTGGTGAAGGGGCCTCAGGAATGCTAGCTGCCGGGCCTGGTTGTCTTGCCAGGGCTCTGTAGTCTTCCCAAGGAGTTTTCAGATATGTTTATCCTACAGAGGTTGAGGGCTCAGACACAGGAGTCAGGTTGTCTGTCTGGGCTTATGTCCTAACTCAGTTACTTCATGGGTGACCTTGGGCAAATTACTTAACCTGGCGTGTGTGTGTGTGTGTGTGTGTGTGTGTGTGTGTGTGTGTGTGTGTGTGTATGCATCTGTGTGTGTGTGTGTATGCATCTCTGTGTGTGTGTGTGTATCTCTGTGTGTGTGTGCATCTGTGTCTATGTGTATGTGTCTGTGTGTGTATCTGTGTGTCTGTGTGCATCTGCGTCTGTGTGCATCTGCGTCTGTGTGTATGTGTCTGTGTATATCTGTGTGTATGTGTCTGTGTAAATGTGTGTGCATCTCTATCTGTATGAATGTATGTGTCTGTGTGTATCTGTGTGTATGACTCTGTGTGTGTATCTGTGTGTAGGTTTGTGTGTGTGTGTATCTGTGTGTGTGCATCTCTATCTGTATGTATGTCTGTGTGTGTCTCTGTGTGTGTGTGTATGTCTCTGTGTGTGGTGCTGGCATGAACTGAGGGTTTTGAACACACCAGGCAGGTACTGTTATTGAGCTACATTCCAGCCTCAGTTTCGTCATATGTAATTTGAGTGTAGTGGTACTACCTGGTTGCACAGGGTTATTGGAGAATTCAGAGTTGATTCATACAGGGTACCTCAGACATCAGTGCTGTGTGGTTACTAGTCCCCGGTGACTTTTGACTCTCTCTGGAGCATCACAGAAGCCCACTTGGATGACACCTAATTGATTTTGGAATTACTCAAGGGCTACAGGGAAAAAGACAGACTTGCCAGAGGTGTCAGAGGTGCCACAGCTGGCAGAGCTGGTGTTGAACCAGGGCTTTCTGTCTCAGGTTGCCCAGACTTTTGGTTGGGAGCTAGGTGCTATTAGGCTGGACCTGGAACCTTGCCGTGGGGACGCCTCAGTTGAGTAGGTGTCTCGGGTCCAAGAAGAAAGCCAACCAAGACACAGAGCCATCAGAGGGTTGAGTGAGGGAAAACAGGAGGACATATGCCAGCTTGGGGTGGGAGGTCAGGGAGGAAGGAGGGAGGGGGAGGGGAGGCCAGGAAGCCTGCAGGATGGCCTCCTGGCTGGCAGGAGCAGGCAGAGACTAGAGTGAGCGGATCGTCCCCTCCAGGGCACTGGGCTTGTCTCTGCCTTGAGTTCTGTGTTTCTTCTGCCCAAGAATACTGTTCCCCTTGCCTTACGTCCAACTTCTCCCACATTGCAGCATGATCGGACTCAACTCCAATGTCACCTCCTCAGAAAGACCCTCCCTGGCCACCTGAATAAAGTGCCAGCATGCATGTTCCCATCACACACACACACACACACACACACACACACACACACACACACACACACATACACACACACACACACACACACACACACACACCCCGTTTATCTCCCTCTGTGACTCTCAGGCTTAGGCACCCTCTTACCCATTTTTCACTGTTTACCCCCACTCCACCCACCCCACACACACCTTCAGCTCCTTGGAGGCAAGCCCTTCCTGCCCAGGCTTGTTCACCCCTAGTGCCAATCATACGTATTTGTTAGATGAATGAGTGACTTGGGGAGGCGGGAAGAAGATCAGGAAGGGAGCAGGTGGGCTGTGTAGGCTAACAGAGGGAAAGGAGTGAGGTGCCAGGCTGGACCATGGGAGATGGGGAGGGGAGGCCCAAGCTAAGGGGGCAGATGGGCAGAATCGTCGGGGGTCAGGAGCCTGGTGGGCAGAATATGGTAGTGTGTGTGAGCGTGTGTGTATCTGATACCCTCGGTTCAGTCTCCAACACCACATACATGCGAACACACACCAGAACCCTCTTGTTGCTGGTGTGGAAAACTTGACGTTAAGGAGTCAGATGGAAGCTAGGGGATTGAATTGAATGCCCCACACAGCCAAGGAAGCTTCGGAAGGTGACAGGAGCTCTTATTAACCCCCTGGATCCTCCCAGGTGGTCAGCAGTTGGTGGACAGTGACAAGAAGTGCCCTGCCACCCACCAACACCTCATTGGCTGACCACCCTCGGGCAAGTTAGGTAATCTTTCTGTGCCTCAGTTTCTTTATCTGTCAGATAGGAATAAGAACATCTACTTCGTAGAGTGGCTGAGATTAAATGTGAGGAACTGCATGCTGGACATGGGCTCACACCTGTGATCCCAACACTTGAGAGGGTGAGGCAGGAGGATCGCTGCAAGTTGAAGGCTACCCTGGGCCACATAGTGAGACCCTGGAAAGAAGTGGGTGAAGGGACAGAGAAATAGAGGGGAAAAGAGTGAGCACAATAGCTCTCTCTGTGGCCAGGTAGGACTAGAGGGACTGCCACCGGTCAGTAGGATGGATGGGGAAAGCCTTGAGACTTGACGGGTCCCCGTTTCAAGCTCCACCTCTGGCTTCGTCTGCTGCGAAGTCTCAGGCAAGAGAGCATCCTGTCTGAGCTGTCTCCTCATCTGCCACACGGGAGGCACAGAGGCTCCCAGTCCACCCTCACCAGACACTCCCCCTGCCTGTCCGTCTCACTGCTTCCTGCTGCCCCTGTGGGAGGAGAATGCCATTGGAAGGCCTGGAAGGCGGAAGCCCGCGCGCCACTTCAGCAGCACATTCATTGACCTCTCTCTGCCTAAAGTTTTCCCACTTATGAAAGGGGTGTGTGATAATATCTGTCTCAGGAGGCTCTTGTAAGAATTAAATGAATAAGTCTGGTGGCCATGTGGTTTATAATCCCAGCACTCAGGAAGTAGAGGCAGGAGGATTCCAAGTTACAGGCTACCCTGAGTATAGTAAGACTCTCTCAGAAAACCAAGAGCTGGCATGGTCACTCAGTAATAGAGTGTTGCCTAGCTTGCATGAGGTTCTGGGGTTCCATCCCCACTCAACCCTCCATACACACACACACACACACACACACACACACACACACACACACACACACACACACACGAGAGAGAGAGAGACAGAGAGAGACAGAGAGAGAGTGAGAGAGAGACAGAGAGAGACAGAGAGACAGAGAGACAGAGAGGGAGAGAGAGAGGGAGAGAGACAGAGAGAGAGGAAGGCACACAGACACACACAGAGAGATCTATAATGAATTAAATGGATGAGCATGTGCAGAACATACAGACAAGCACCCAGAACTTTGTAAAACTGTTTAAATGTTTGTCTCAGTGGTCATTACAGAGTTTGTTTATATGTTTGTATGTTTTAGACAGTCTTACAATGTAGTCCCGTCTGGCTTGGAACTGACTGTGTAGACCAGCCTGGTCTTGAACTCACAGATTCACCTCTCTCTGCCTCTACTGTAATTAGAAGTATGAGCATGCCAGGTATATGTCTGTTCTCTAGGATCTTATTCTGTAGCTCAGGCTGAGCTGGAACTCAGTTGCTTCAAACTCATGGCAGTCCTCCTGCCTCGGCTTTCCATGCTGGGATTATAAGTATTTACCGCCATACCTGGCTCCTCACAGAGTCAGTTATTTATTCACTATGTATGAGGGTTTTGTCTGCATCTTCACCACAGGCATGCCTGGTGCCCCCAGAGGCCAGAAGAGGATGTCTGGACACCCTGGGGTTGGTGCTCCAGAGGGTTGTGAGCTGCCGTGTGGGTACTGGGGTGGAGGCCAGATCCCGTGGAGGGGCAGCCCGTGCTCCTCACCACTGGGCCATCTCTCCAGACCCTGTTTTGTTTTTTTTTAAAGATTTATTTGTTTATTATGTATACAATGTTCTGTCTGCATATATTCCTACACCCCAGAAGACGGCACCCAGATCTCATTATAGATGGTTGTGAGCCACCATGTGGGTGCTGGGAATTGAACTCAGGACCTCTGGAAGAGCTGCCAGTGCTCTTAACCTCTGAGCCATCTCTCCAACCCCAGGACCTGTTTTTATTTTGTTTTTAAGATTTAAAAATAGATTTTATTTTATTTTTGTTTTGTTTTTGAGACAGGGTTTCTCTGTGTGGCTTTGAAGCCTGTCCTGGAACTCACTCTGTAGCCCAGGCTGGCCTTGAACTCACAGAGATCCACCTGCCTCTGCCTCCCAAGTACTAAGGTGTGCATCACCACACCTGGCTCTAAAAAAGATTTTTTTTTAACTCTGTGTGTGTGTGTGTGTGTGTGTGTGTGTGTGTGTGTGTGTGTGTACAGTGCAGGAGCCTGCAGAGACCAGAAGAGGGTATCAGCTCCCCTGGAGTGGAGTTACATACAGGTGGTTGTGAGCTTCCCAACATGGGTGCTGAGGACCAAACTTGTGTTCTGTGCAAGATCAATACACACTTTTAACAGCTGAGCCATGGCTCCAGCCTCTCCTTACAGAGTTTTGAAGAAGATCAGAAAAGATAAGGGGAATAATGTCAGATGCCTTCGGGAGGCACCGGCAGATGGCACTGTGGCTGGGCTGTCAGGTCGAAGGGCTTGAGCAGGAGGTGGCCTGGGAGGGAAAAGAACCCATGGCAAAGAGTGCTTGGGGCACCAATTGCAACCAGAGCCTTGTGGGAAGCAGACCTAGTCCCTGGTCCTACTCTGCTTTGGGCAGATCACTGTCCTTTGCCCACCCTGGCTCTGCGATCCTTCATCTGTGAAATGGGAACAGTATTTGTTCGGCTTTTCCCACTGGGCTGTGGTGGTGAGGATCAAATAGTTTATGAATGTGAACGTGTTTGTACACACTGAGGAATTTCAGCTCTCTTTGTAACTGTTAGCCAAACCAAATCCTACTTATGCCCTTCTATCTTTTTTCCCTTCTCAAGGGCAAACAAATAGGTAGCTTGGATACTCTAAGGAAAGAGGCTTTGAAAACAGCAGGAGAAAGTGAAATCAGACTTTAGGACTTCCTCAAGCTGGCATGGGAAGGGAAAGAGACAGAGAAGAGGAAAGTTCCTAGGTACCTAGACCAGCAAAGGTTCTCCTGACCTGCATGAAGCTGGTCCAGGGTGGGAGGGTGACGGACGGGAGAGTCTGCAGGAAGCTGTGGCCCTGGAGGCTGAGAAGCTGGAAAGCACCGTGAGAAACTAGTACATCCTAAAGATGAGCCCTTCTCCTCCGGCTTGCAGGGCCAACATCTGCCGGGGGCCAACATCTGCCGGGGGCAGTCCGGGGGCAAGTTGAGGCTGGGGAAGCCAGGAGTCCTAGCAGGGTTTTTGAGACTATCAAGTTTGGTTTGAGCAAGACCTGGGCAGAATCAGGTGACTTTCTGGCCTGCAGCAGGAAGTCTCCTCTGGGTTGTGCTGGTCCCAGAGCCGCCTGGGCTCTACGGACCCTGGGTGATCTCGGCGTCTTGGTTGTATCTTCGTCCCATCTGGCTTTGTGCAGGTTCAGCCTGAACAGATACTTCTGAGCCAAGTGCGGTTCCTTAGTCTGTCTGTCGTCTGTGCCCTGCTACAGACTGGGCAGCTCTCCGCCTCAGGTCCCAGTGGCTCCACTTCCAGGCAGCGGCTGTTTGGCTTCTGTCTGGATCTCATGCAGGCTGTCTTGGCTACGTTCTGTCTGAATTCTGGCTCAACCTGCCTGGGGTTCAGACTGACCCCTTTAACTTTCCACTGGGGCTGATTAGGGCTCCAGACTTAATGTCTGTCGATGGCTGTGTTCAACTTTGCCCTGAGAGTTCTGTCCCAAGCAGAGATGAGTGGGGATCCCAGGGGAGCCCTTTTGTGCCTTCCGCCCAAGTGAGTGAGAATGCAGCCCTGGGGCTGTTGAGGTTGCGTGAGTAGGCAGCACCCTCTTCCATGTCCTGGGGACGTGGCTGCAGGTCTGTGTGTCCATGTGTCAGCAATGCAGCTCTGCCTGCGTCTGTGTGCAGTGAATGTCAACATGGCAGTGTGGCTCCGTGTGGGTGGGTGTCGGGGGCCTATTTCTGTGTGCCTGGGTGTCAGCGCTTCTGTCTGTGTCACTGGTCTGCCTGGAGATGGCAGTGTGGGTGGGTGAATCCCTTTGTGTCTCTGAGCCCCGAGGGTGGAGGGCTGAGCAGCTGCGGGTTGCAACTGGGAAATCCGAGTCAGAGAGAGTTGGTGGGTGTAGGGTTGGAAGGGACTGGAAGAAAGTGAGTGAAAAGCGTGGGGGGTGGGGGGGTGGGGTGGGGGAAGAAGGGTCTCCAATAGCAGAGAGCAGTGGGAAGAGGAGGAAGGTGTGGGAGGAAGCAGGTCAGAGTGCCGCCGACATGGCCCTTACTGGGCCTGGCTGTGCTTGCTCAACTTGGCATCAGCCACGGGCAGCTTGGCAGTGACGTGACCTTCTGTGAGGGAATGAATGGTCAGGTCGGGGCAGGGAAAAGGGGGATCCGAGCAGGTACTGCCAGGGCATGGTAGGAAGGCTCACAGCCTGGGAAACCATTCTAGAATCCTCCTTGGAGACCAGAGACAACCATCACAAGGACGACATTTAGTTGGCTGTTGAAATACTGAAGTTTGTCCATATCCAACAGTCAATAGCAACAGCTTTCTTTCCAGGGAGACTCTGAATGCATGAGGCTGTTCCTACCTCAGAGAGTGCCTCTAGCTGACTCCCTTTAAGGTACCTGGGCATCTAAAGACATTGTTCTTTAAGATATCCAGCCCTGGCTCTGACTGTGTCCTTGCCGTCTCTTCTGACTAGGACCCTTCCCTAGTATCTGAGCCTAGAACTGCGACCATCCATGTATGTGTGGCAGGTAGAGGACCAGAGAGCAAGAGCATCAGCCTTGGGGACAGGATAGGGATTGTTCATGGACTCGGCCTTGTTTTTCTCTCCAGGCAAAAGACAGTGATGATGAAGAGGAGGTGGTCCATGTGGATCGAGACCACTTTATGGACGAGTTCTTTGAACAGGTAGAGCCTCCAATAGCCCTGGCCCAGAATGCCCCTTCCCAACAACTTCCTTTGCCTTGTGCACCCCCCTCTTTCCTGCACACTCCTTGGCCTTCTGGGTTTGGCCCATTTCATGGAGCACTGGCTAGTTGTCCTGATTCCCTCATCTGGCCCACCAACCGGGCTGAGGGGTCACTGATTTCCTGTCCCAGGTGGAAGAGATCCGAGGCTGCATCGAGAAACTGTCTGAGGACGTGGAACAAGTGAAGAAACAGCACAGTGCCATCCTGGCCGCCCCCAACCCGGATGAGAGTGAGTACCGCTTCGGGGGACTTGAGTTGGGGCCCCATCCAGCTTCTCACCTCCCTCTTTGCCCTCCCCCCCAGAGACTAAACAGGAGCTGGAGGACCTCACAGCAGACATCAAAAAGACGGCGAACAAGGTCCGGTCCAAGTTGAAAGGTGAGAAATGCAATTCTGCAACTTCCGGGAGAGATCTCTGCCCTGCACTGGACCGAGCAGGCCTCTGGAAGCAGTGCTCACAGGCTTCTGGGGCCCAGATTCCTCATCAGTGAGAAACACACAAGCCCACTTTTGCCCACATTCTTTGGAGACACGTGACAGGGAAGTGAGCTGGGTAGGGTTTCCGCCTGGACTGCACCTGAGAGCCATCAATCAGAGAAATACAGATTTCCAGTCAGTCATGGTGGTGACGACCTATAATCCCGCACTCAGGTCACCGTAACAGGAAAGGGGACAGTTCCTGGTAAATGTGGGCTAGATAGCAAGACCCTATTTCAAAAAAAATCCAGGAAGGAAGGGAGGAGGAAATGAAAGAAACATACTCCTCCAAGAGGTTTAAATCTTGTTCAGTCCTCATTTGTCCTGAACAGGCTCTGAACACGACACTGAGCACCCAGTAGGGTGGCTCAGCAAATGCTTCTGTATTAGTATCCTCGGCTCAGGACAGATTGGACTGTGTGGCTGACATCAGGGGCTGGCATGCGTGCAGGCGGGCCTTGCCAAATGCTCATGGATTCACTCTAATTTAAGGACTTGGGTGCTGGTAATAATCACCTTCCCTCACAGCACTGTGGGCTGGGAACCTCCTTGTCTGCTGGTGCCAGGGGAATAGCAGTATCAAGGAGCGGCTACTTGTGTGCCACGGTAATTTAGCAGCATAAGACAGTTACTGAGGGTCTGCAGCACGGAGGCCGTTGCTGGGCTTTAGACAGGCTTTACTGAGGGCCTGTCCCCCAAACCACTGACCTTACCTGGGGGGATGAGGAAACAAGCGCCGTGTCCTTTTGGACTTAAGAGGAAGCCATGCGTGAGCCTTTGATGCTGACCTGTAAGGACAAGGTCTTTGTTCTCAGGGAGTTTGCTCTGGGGTCATGTTCATGCAATCTTCATGAGGAGTCCAGCCTCCAATGTTGACTCACTGTGGACAGTTCCTGTGCTCGGTTTGCTCGTCACTATGGTGGGGGAAACTGAAGCAATTATAAAAAAAAATTTTTCTTCTATTTTTGACAGCAAAATATTTTTCTCCAGATGAAGTCTTACCAAGAATCTCAAATATAACATCAAAGTTGCCAGACATGGTGGCCCACACATTTTGGCTCAGCACTAGGGAGACAGAGGCAGGTAGATCTCTACGAGTTTGAGGCCAGCCTGGTCTACATAGCCAGAGTTATAAGGTGACATTTTCAAAACAAACACCATAAAAGTCGGGTTGCAGGAGGCATAATGGTGTGCCCCTATAATTTTAGCACTTGGTAGGCTGAGATGAGCCGGAGGGTCACAGGTCCAGGACTCAGTGGTTTCTTCAGACCCATTGTGTCCTGATCTAGAACACTTTCTAGAAGACCATGAGGAAAACCTTGTGGTCAGGGGTTCAGGAATAGGTCCAGACAGAAGACAGGAAAAGTGAAGGTAGTTAAGAAACTGACCAGGAAACAAACAAACAAACCAATCATCTTTCCCATCTTTTTCCAATTGGTGGCATCAGGGTGACCTTGACAAGTGGTCTCAGGAATTTGAACCCCAGTTTCTAGTGTGAAATATCAACCCATACCACTGAGTTCCCGGAATTGTAAAAGACCCCTCTGTCCAGCTCTGGCCCTAGCCCCAGGTCTCATAATGCGGCCCAGCAGGACCAGCAGGTCCCTGGATCCCTAATCGTGTATCTGGTGTTTTCTGTGAACTGGCGCAGCCAGGGATCGTGCTCAGACATTGTTCCTGCCTTTGCTTGCAGGAGAGCCTGGAGGGGTCGTCTAGCTGCCTTCCTTCCCGACTGCCAGTCAGAGAGGTGGTACTCTGAGGACTGGTACTCTGAGGACTGGTACTCTGAGGACTGGCCCAGAGGCCCCGAGTCTAAGCAGCCTTGGTGATTCATCCTTGCTGCATTTTCTGATCTCACTTGTAGAAACTGTCACTGCAAGTTCTTCTTAGAAATCTGAGTGACAGAGTCAGGAATACATGATCCAAAAGCAGTATAATACATCCTTTAGAAGTGGGAACTCAGCCAGGCATGGTGGCGCACGCCTTTAATCCCAGCACTCAGGAGGCAGAGCCAGGTGGATCTCTGTGAGTTTGAGGCCAGCCTGGTCTATAGGGCGAGTTCCAGGCAGCCAGAGCTACACAGAGAAACCTTGTCTCGAAAAACCAAAAAATAAAATTAAAAAGAAGTGGGAACTCCCAGGACAAGCAGGGCAGCTAAGTTTTCTCTGTTAGAACATCCATCTATGAGCTATAGAATTCTCATGGAAAGAATGGCCACCGAAAAGTCAGAAGGTAGCGGGGTCTTGCCTGCAGGAGCAGCAGCTATTCAGAAAGTTGAGGCAGAAGGGTCTTTGAGTCCACAAGTTCTAGGCAATGTAACAACAACCTGTCTTTAAAAGCAAAAAAAAAAAAAAGAAGAAAGAAAAAAGAAAAAGGTTGGTAGGTCTTACTTCTTTTTTTTTTTTTTTTTTTTTTGGTTTTTCAAGACAGGGTTTCTTTGTGTAGCTTTGTGCCTTTCCTGGAACTTGCTTTGGAGACCAGGCTGGCCTTGAACTCAGAGATCCGCGTGCCTCTGCCTCCCGAGTGCTGGGATTAAAGGAGTGCGCCACCACAGCCCGGCGGGTTTTGCTTCTTGTTCAGAGATGAGAGGAACTGGAGGCTGCTTTGGGGTGGGGGGTGTCCCCTCTAGTGGACTGGCTATATTCATTCCCTCCTGGGTTTGGGCTCTTCCCAAAGCAAAATCCTTCCATCAGAACAAACTTGTCTGGTGACCTTTTGACTCTGTCTCTCTCCCTACCTGCCTTAGGAAACCCCCTCAGATCCCTACCCGTGTACTTGGCAGCCTGCAAAACTATACCTCACCATAGTCCCTTTGGTGGAGCATGGTGTCCCTTCCCCAAGCCTGGAACCTACCTCTTCCCACACCCCAGATCCCGTCCCCCCACCCCACCCCCGTCACGTCCCGCCACGTCCCCTGGTCTCCAGCCTGTCACTGTGCCTTCTTTCCCGCAGCGATCGAGCAGAGCATTGAGCAGGAAGAGGGGCTGAATCGTTCCTCCGCAGACTTGCGCATCCGCAAGACCCAGGTAGGCTCAGGGTGCGGAGGACCAGGCCGGGCAGGAGTGGTCTCTGTCGGGGGCTTTGGGCGGGGTTGTGGCAGAGAGCAGAGCTGCGCGGTACCTATTGTTGCCTGCGGGCTAAGGATGGGGATGCGGTTTTGAATTCGTGGGAGGCTGGTGCTGCAGCCTTCTCAGCCTTGTGGCCCTGACACCCTGCTGTGTCTTTCCCCAATTCTCTAGCACTCCACACTCTCGCGGAAGTTCGTGGAGGTAATGACCGAGTATAATGCAACCCAGTCCAAGTACCGGGACCGCTGCAAGGACCGCATCCAGCGGCAGCTGGAGATCAGTGCGTGTGCCCCTCCCCTCCCCAAACTCCCAGCACTGGACAGGCCCCCTCCAGGTGGTTCCTCCCTGGAGCCAGCACCTGGCCTGAGCCCGGCGGAAGGGTGGGTCCTGGGTGCCTGCTCCCTTCATCCCACCACCCCAGGTCCGCTTCCTGAGTCCTTTCTCTCCACAGCTGGCAGGACTACCACCAATGAAGAGCTGGAAGACATGTTGGAAAGCGGGAAGCTGGCCATCTTCACTGACGATGTGAGCCCCGGGGTCGGGTCAGGTTCTGTCAGGGAAACATTTGCCTCTCCACCACGTCCACCCTGGAATCCCAGACAATGGACAGTTTGGACCAAGAGCTGGGAGATTCCATGGGGGCAGGGCAGGAAGGCACCTCCTTAAAAAAAACGCTCAATAGCGCTGTGCCAGGCATTTCTACACTTGCAGGACTTTCTGTTTGTGTTTTGAGACGGGATCATGCTATGTGGCCCAGGCTTGTTTCAAACTCCCAATCCTCCAGCCTCAGCTGGAATTACATGGGCGAACCACTCTGTCTGGCTTCATTTCATCTTCCCTATGATCTCAGAAGTAGCCCATTTCACAGATGAGGAAAATTGAGCCAGAAAGTGAAATAATTTGTGAAGAACTTGACTCCACAGTCTAATTTCTGAGTCAGAGCTCTTCAGTATGGTGACTGACAGCATACTCCTGTCCCCAGACCCGCAGGAATCGACAGCCTACTCCCCCTCCTGAAGCATGCATTCTCTGTGATTCATTTTTGAAGGCTTTTCTTTTGGTTTGACTTACGTTTTCCACACGACCCTGTTCTGTTTATATGTGAGTGGATGGGTTTTCCCCAAACCCAGGTTCTCTTTCTCCTGTGGACATGTGCTTTGGCCTGCCCAGTCCTGTCTCCATTTCTGCCTCTGTGGCCAGATGGCTTTGGGAAATGGGTGTAGACCAGGTATAAAGTATTCACCGTGACTGTGTAACAGTTTGCAGTGAAGTGGTGTTTGAACAGTTGGGTTTTGTTGCATTAATTAATGGGCAGATAGGTTGTGGGCCAGTTACACAGTCCTCCTCCCGATACAGCTCTCCTAGGGCTGTCTGTCTTTCTGTGTGAGACTGGAGAGGTGCCTGGTGGGTGACTCCAAGAGGTCTCACTTTAGAGGGCACGAGTTGACCTCTGGCCAGGCATAGTGGCACATGGGAGGCAGAAACAGGAGGATCTCTGTGAGTTCAAGGCCAGTCTGGTCTACAGAGCTTCCAAGACAGCCAGGGCTACATGGAGAGACCGGCCTCGAAAAAAGAAGAAAACGAAAAGTTGACCTCTGCCCCCTGGCATTCCACTGTGTCATGGAAACCACCTTTATAGAACTCACTCAGTTTACAACAGTCTTTTGAGATAGGCACAATTATGATTCATACCTCTCTTCCTTTCTTTTCTTCCTTTCTTCTTTTCTTCCTTATTTCTTTCTTTCCTTCCTTCCTTTCTTTTTTTTTCCAGACAGGGTTTCTCTGTGTAACATCCCTGGCTGTCCTGGAACTCACTCTGTAGACCAGGCTGGCCTCGAACTCACAGAGATTCGCCCGCCTCTGCCTCCCGAGTGCTGGGATCAAAGGCACGCGCCACCACACCCAGCTTATGATCCATATTTTCTAGGTGGTGCTAACAAGGTCCAGGAGAGGATAAATAATTTGCCCAGGGATTTGAACCCAGCCCCTGTAACTGTTAGGTTGAAACCGTGACCTGGGCAAAGGATGGTCACAGCCCTCTCTTCCTCCCGTCCCCCTAGATCAAGATGGACTCACAGATGACAAAGCAGGCACTAAATGAGATCGAGACAAGGCACAACGAGATCATCAAACTGGAGACCAGCATCCGAGAGCTGCACGACATGTTTGTGGACATGGCCATGCTCGTGGAGAGCCAGGTACAGGCTGCACCAGTCTGGGACCCCCCCACCCCCTGCCCCCGAGCCCTGAGGTTGCCTTTTCCAACCTGACCCTCCTTCTTCCCTCGTCACATTCCCTCTGTCTGCAGGGCGAGATGATTGACCGCATCGAATACAATGTGGAACATTCCGTGGACTATGTGGAACGAGCTGTGTCTGACACCAAGAAAGCTGTGAAATATCAGAGCAAGGCGAGGAGGGTAAGCCAGTGGAGGGGCCCAATGGTGGGGTAGATCAGTGGGTGGGGTGTGGCAGTTATGAAATGGGTGAGAGGCCTTATCTCTGGCTCTGACCTCTTCCTGTTTCTCTTTTCTCTCCCTTCTCTTTCCTCATGCCCCACATCCCAACTCTTCCTTCATTTGTCTGTCTGTCTGTCTGTCTGTCTCTCTCTCTCTTTTTCTCTCTCTCTCTCCCTCTTCCCACACTCATCTTTCCACCTGCAGAAGAAAATCATGATCATCATTTGCTGTGTGGTGCTGGGGGTGGTCTTGGCGTCATCCATTGGGGGGACACTGGGCTTGTAGGCCCCCCCACCCTTCTCTTCCCTTGGTCCCTCCCCACACATCGGGAGCAATACCCCCACCACCCTTTCACTCTCCCCTGCTCCAAGCTCACTCCCAAAACAGACCCAGGCAGTTCCAGCTCCTCTCACCCTCATGCCAACCCTGGAGTCCCTGGCTCTCACCTTGCCATGGATCCCACCTCCACCTTGCCGCACATAGATAGCAGCAGGCGTGATCACACATGCACACCAACATGCATGCCGCGGGCACATGCTCAAGACGTGTGGACACCCCAGCGTGTGTGTACTTGTGTAGATGTATGTAGATCCCTTGAACCCCTTCTTCCTGCCACCTCTCTCCTGTGTGTGGTCTGATCTTCCCTCTATCCAGTTGCTGTGCAGACTGCGCCTGAGTATAACACAGCAGCCCACCATGCCCTAAACTGTCTTCTGTGAATAGACATATGTGTAGTACAGGTGTGCGTGTGCGTGTGTGCGTGTGTGTGTGTGTGTGTGTGTGTGTGTGTGCATAGATCTGTGGCCATATAATGTGTGTACATGGAGTTTTGTAAGTGTGAAAACCCAATGCAAAAGCAATTCCTCTACTGACCTTCTCTCCTGTCTGCTACCTTTGGAGTGGGAGGTGTGTGTGTGGATAATTCACGTCCTCAAAGGATCCAGGGAGGCCCAGAGACCATGGCACACGTCTCATGTAATGTAGGACAAACTCACAGAATCTCCTGGCTCCATTACTGCCAGGGGTTGTATCATGTCCTGGGGACTCACCGCCCCCACGTGTGTGTGTGTGTGTGTGTGTGTGTGTGTGTGTGTGTGTGTGTGTGTGTGTGTGTTGAGCCTTGGAGTTCAGGGGAGGCAAGTGGAAGCCTGTGTGTAAATGATAAACAACCTGGCTTAGTTTGTATGAATGTGTATTTTCCCTAACAGATGATGTAAAGGGCTTGTGCACAAGACACTCTCTTTCTCTCTCTCTCTCTCTCTCTCTCTCTCTCTCTCTCTCTCTCTCTCTCTCTCTCTCTGTCTCTTTCTCTGTCTCTCTCTCTGTCTCTGTCTCTCTCTGTCTCTCTGTCTCTCTCTCTCTCTCTGTCTCTGTGTGTGTGTGTGTGTGTGTGTGTGTGTGTGTGTGTGTGTGTGTGTATAGTGTTGATAGTTTTCTGTTTAGACAGAACTATTTACGCTCTAAATCAGACACTAGTTTTGGGTGGGTCTAGATACCTGTTTCTAAGCTACCTGGAATACCTGTGTGTGTGTGCACGTGTGCATCCTTAGGGACTTTCTGCTTCTGCTTCTCACATGCACACACTGTCTTTAAGGACATGCTCCCCGGGTTCCGGGTTTGTTTCTTCACACTTAGTTGCCCACTCCCTCTCCTCAGAACAGCAGCCACACACACTGCTCCGTCAGGAGTGTGCAAGTGATACTTCTTCCCTCACCAGACTGTCTGACAGGGGAACACACCAAGTCTCACCTTTCTGTTTCTGCCTGGTAGCAGTACTGAGCCTTGGGCAGCTAGCACAGCCTAGTGTGTTCACAAATGCCGAGGCTGAGAAAGTTCCAGAAAGGTGGCCACACATAGGTGCTGGGGCCTCACACATGAACAGCATGGTGCCCATCCTGGGCCACACCCATTTGCACATAAACTGTCTCCTGGGAGGAGTGTGGCGGGCCTAAGGAGGTAAGATGTCAAGGGCTGCTCCCGGCAGGCAGGCGGGAAACCATGGCACTCCCCCTTCTTGCCTCTCAATTCACCTCAGAAGCTATTGTTTGTCCCCACTGCCATAGCTGATGCTCTGGACTCTTCCCCAAGAGACTTGGGCGGCTTGGGCAACTGGATCTCACACATACCTGAGTGGCTACTTAGGGCCATCCTTGAATCTGTCCCTCGGACATGTATACTGCTGAAACATCAGCTGTGGCCACTACCACAGCTGGCTGACAGGGGGGGCCAGACGAAGTGACTGTTCTCTGGTGGTGAGGAATGGAGGAACCCCTCCCATTGTGTGGACGTTCTGTGGGTTCTCTGGGAGCAGGCAGGCGGTAAATGGGATAAAGGATAGTGCTAGAAGTCCTGTGAACATGTAGGTGGCACACAGAGGTGCGTGTGCCCTGCCCTGGAGTAGGGTAGCCATGTGAAGTGTATGTGTACACAAGTGCATGCAGGACTGGGAGAGACGGGAAAGGAAGAGACCCTGCAAATATGCCTTCCCCGATGAAAATCTTCTCAACAAGTCCTGACAGCTGATCTCTTTCCTGCCTGGATGTTTGAGCTCTGCCCACCTGACGTGCGTGTGTGTGTGTGTGTGTGTGTGTGTGTGTGTGTGTGTGTGTGTGTGTGTCCACATGTATGTAACCCCCAGGTTAGCTGTGCTGAGGAGGGAGCCTGCCTCTCCATTTCCGGAATACTCTTCGGCAGGACAGGAGTCCGCCCAGAGCCTCCTGCCCCCATCCTTGGCTTCTCTGGAGACGTCAGAGGAGGCCCCAGCATCCATCCCTTCTTCCTTCAGACCAGCCAGAACTCCTTTTAACCCAGGTGTTTCTAGCGGCCTCCCTGACACCCCAGTCATGGTGTTCACAAGGACAGGACTGTGGCTGGCATGCTGCTTCTGCCTCTTTGAATGGCACTGGGCCCAGGGCTGCCCACCACTGGGCCTCACGTGGATCAGCAGTCCCTGAGAGTCTGCTGTAACCCAGCTTTCTACAAGACCCACACATCCCACGATGGACGTGCTTATTGACCGCTGTCCATGTGTGTCCTGGATGACTGTCTGGGGGCTGGTGTCTCTTGCATGTTCTCAGATAAGTGTGTGCCGCCTGCCCTCCACATACCTACAACCGACATGCCCAAATGTGCCCCTTGGTGGTCCTAGGCCCACGCCAGGACTCAGTGCTTCCACCGTCCCTTCTTCGCCTCTCACAAAGCACACCGTGTGTCCGTCTCATGTGCCCGTGGGTCATCACGCTCTTGTCATGCCTTGGGCGTGTACACATGATGTGTTCTATGCACTCACCCTGCCCTACCCACCTCACAGAGAAGGAGATGGTTGGCCCCTCGCTCCTCCCCCACCAGCCTCTCCCGGTGCCCTGCTGTGCAGCTGTGCGCGTTGGTGTGTTTCTGTGTCGCTGGCGTGTCGTGTGATGTAGCCATGTTTGCTGACATGAGCCCCTGCCCCCTTCTCTTTTTCTCCATTGGTTTCTAGAACTCTCTCCCTCCCCTCCCCTGAGGGGACAGGACTCCTGGGGCCTGCTGGGGGCCCAGAGCCTGGCCACCCTCCTGTTAGCCTTCAGTCTTATTTCTCTCGATTGGTGACCAAGTTGCAAATGGATAAAATACAGGAAACTCTGACCCCTGCCCCAGACCTGCATGTCCTGTCCTCAGAGTCCCCGAACCCCATCCTGGGCCAGGTTGGGCCTGCTGGGACGGGAGAAATAGCAACTAATCCAACAGCGGGCTTGCCGTGTACTCACTTCCTTCTGTCCCCGCACGGGACGGGCGCCGTGACGAGGGGACACACTGGGGTGGGGGTGGGGGCAACAGGTAGATACAGACTTGGAAAAGGCTTTTTAATCCAGGCTTGGCCAGACACAGCACGGTTGGCCTCCTTGGCAGAAAGCTCACAATATCACAGGAGCTGAATTTGGTTGGAGAGGCAAGACATGGAAAATCATTGATTTCTTCAGTTTTCTTTAAAGCAAATTACAAGAAAATGTCTAAAAGAAATACACTTAAGAAAATGATGGCGCCGGGCGGTGGTGGCGCACGCCTTTAATCCCAGCACTCGGGAGGCAGAGCCAGGCGGATCTCTGTGAGTTCGAGGCCAGCCTGGTCTCCAAAGCGAGTTCCAGGAAAGGCACAAAGCTACACAGAGAAACCCTGTCTCGAAAAACCAAAAAAAAAAAAAAAAAAGAAAATGATGGACCTATAACCTCTTAAAGAGAGCCAGACGTGGCAGAAGGCAGGTCTGAAGACACCCAGAGTAAGCAGACCAGCAGGTCTCTGGGATCTTTGCCCCTTCCAGCTTGAGAAACCGGAAATGGGAAGGGGTAGTGGGACCATTAGGAATCAGTTTTGCCAACCAGCTGGCAGGCCTCAGTTGGGACCAAAGATAGGCCTGTCCCCAAACCCTGTCCTAGAACTTGGAGGCTGGGATACCACCCAGGCTCAAGATCTGTATAGTTAAAATGTGGCAGGGTCCATATCATCCATCCAGTCAGGCACCACAGCCCCCAGCTTCAGAAGGCAGCCGCTTCTCTCCATCCAGTTCTGAAGGCTCAGGATCTTGAGTAGGTACCACAGTGGCCTCCAGGCCCTGGCCACATCACCTGGCCGAAGCCTCCAAGGCCTGCACCCAGTGAATGGTGCGGGCCTTGCTCTCTTCCCATGAGAAGAGGGGCTTGTAGCCGAAATGGCGCTGTGCCTTGTTGGTGCTGACAGTGAAGGTGGTGTTGGCCATGGCCAGAGTATAGGGGTTCAGCAGGGGTGTGTACAGCACCAGTGGGCGGAGGAGCCACTGCAGGAGGGTGTTGAGGGTAGCCAGAAGCACCAGCAGCCAGTAGGGCAGAAGTGGGTGGGTGCCTATCAGCCGAAGTCCACAGGGACCCAGAAACTCCATGTTGAAGTCCTCGTAGCTCTTATACGGTGACTTATCGTAGCAGAAGTAGACCTGGCCACCCATGAGCGCCGCCCGCTGCTCCAGTTCCCGGGCCACCAGCACGTGCATCCAAGCCACGTTGCCTGCCAGTCGGGAGGGAGGGAGATGGGCCACCGACGGCCCTTGGTCCAGTCCCCTATTGGGCCCATTAGATGCCGTCCAGACCTCACTACTGGCTGGTCAAGGTTGCCTCTCCCCCAGCCCCTGAAGCCACCAGCCCTCCAGGCCGTCCTGCAGCCACTTGGCTCCTGTAGAGATGCTGCCCTTTTCTTTCTCTGGAGAACTGTCACTCACACTGCTTCAGGGCTCAGCAACACCCAGGACAGTTTTCCATCAGCCCTCCCAACTGGCATGGATCCTTTCTCTTTTGCAACCCATTTGGGAAGTGCCCACATGATCACAGAGCTGGGGATGGGGGGGCACGACACTCGTGGCTCTGAGACCTTCAAAGTCAGTCCTCTTACCCTGCCCTCGGCCTCCCTTTGCCTTGCCCTGTCCTTACCAACATAGACCCGACCGTGCTCCACAGAAGCCGGGATGGCCCGAAACAGCCGACCCCCAAAGCGCAGGCCCTGGTTGTAGAAGTCTCTCATGACCTGATGACCTTCACCATAGATGCCCGTGGGTCGAAGGGCACATGTCACCAGGGGTAGCCCTCCATTGACCTGGTGGCAAAGGGAGAATGTTGGGGCACAGCCCTCTACCCTGGCCACCATGGGGTGGCGATGAAGCCTAGGGTTCAGGCTCTGCCTCTGCCTTCACCCCAAGCCCTGTCCTGGCAGCGTACCTTCCTTCCATTGGCCTCCAGGACCAGTTGCTCAGCGAGGGCTTTGCTACAAGGGTAGGGGTGCCTGTGGACTGCCTCATACGGGGTGTCTTCATCGCCCCTAGAGGGAGAGAAGAAAGACTCAGTGCTGGAGGGAAATGGACTGTGAAGTAAAGTGGGGCTGAGCTTACCTGTAGAAGGGGTGGCCCTTGACATTAGGCCCCACAACTTCCATGCTGCTTGTGTAGACCAGGAACTGAGTTCCAGTCCGTATACAGGCCTCAATCACATTCTGTGTGCCTGTGAAGGAAGGGACAGATGCAAGCTGTGTCTTCCTGTCCCCATCTCTTTCTGCTCTACCCAGTGTCCAAGGAGAACCACCATAGGTCAGGAAAGGGTGGGGCAGCAGTGATGGGGCCAGTTATCAGCAGGACAGCCTCGACCGGATGCTAAGGTCAGGCCACACACTAAGGAAGGACAGGTGTCCCACAGAAGAACAGGTAGGTAGCACCTCACCCAGCACATTCACTTGGTGGATGGTCTTTGGACTGGCCTTCCCAAACACATCCACCAGCCCAGCTGTGTGGATGACCACATGAGATCCAGCCACGGCAGCTGCCACCTCGTGGGCCTGAGTCACATCCCCCTGGATGGCGGTCACCTGCACAGGCCCTGGTGAAGAGGCCCGAGGCGGTGTCAGAGCTGGGGCCTCAGCCAGCTGCTGAGTTCAGCCTGCATGCCCCCAGGGGCCCACGTGTTCCCAGTGACTCACCCATCCCATCTGTGTGAGCTGGGGAACAGACACAGGAATCATCTTTTCCACAAGTGGCGGTATCCCAGTTTGGGGCGGGATGGGGCACCACACCCTCCCATGCTACCACCCACTGCGGCAGTCACCTGTTTTCAGCTCCTCCAGCCAGGAACTCAGGTGCAGGTCAAAGACACGCAGCTCCCGGAGCCTGGGCTCGCGCTCCAGCAGCATCCGAACAATGTGCTCCCCCAGGAAGCCACAGCCACCTGTGACCAGGTACACCAGTGTGGGCACCTGTGCAGATCCTGCCATGCCCAGCTGTGGGAAGAGAATTTAGCTCACTAGAATTGCCTGATACACCTGCTCCAACTATGTGTTAGTCCTAGAAGGGATCCAGCAGGTGGGGCAGCGACAGGGTGGAGGAGACCGAGTAGTAGCTGTAGGTTGCTGTTGTGTGCTTTTAGCAATCAGGCTGCCTGCCCTCTTGACCCTAACTGCTGAGTCACTAGGATTGGAAGTAGAAAAGGGTTAGGGATGGAGATGGATGGAAAAACTGACTGGGGGATACTAAAGGAGGGGGAAAAGGCAGAGTTGGATAGAAAGGGTATAGGGAGGTGGTAAGGGTTGGGACTGTAAGAGAAGGGCCACCTGGGGCTCAGTATCATCTCTGCCTACCTGTAGCTAGTTCCAGGGAGTCCAAACTGGCCACTGGGAGAGCTTGTGTCCTGGGCTGATGGGCCAGCTAGCTGCACACAGGCTTCCTTCCTTCCGCTTGCTCCTCCCTCCTGGCCCATTCCAGGAAGGAGACCAGCCTAGCCTCCACCCCTAGGGGCGGGCAAGGGGGTTTGGAGGGAATTCTCTTGCCAGAGTGCCCCCTGGTGGCCAGTCCACTCTCCGTGGCTGGCGGAGGACAGAACCTGCCCACTTGGTGATGACGTGTTTGGGGATAATAGGGTCATCACTGCTACGTGACCTTGGCTCTTCCCTCCTGCTGGGCTTCCCAGTAGGCTGGAGGCCCAGCACCAGCTGTGGTTCTGGGGAGAGAGGAGGGAAGCCTGGTCTTGGTACAGCTCTGGCTAGCATCCGTGGGGAGATTGGCACGGCTGTTGCAGTCCGTTAGGTGGTTGGTCCACGGCAGTACTGCTGTGTCTGCAGGCCTATTCCCCCCCAAACTATAGGCCACCCATTTTCCCCCTCTTGCTTCAGCCACTGTGTCAACTCACATCCCAGCCTGCTCTTCCCAAAGATATTGACCAAGCATTTTTGTACAATAAAGTTTAATCACAATTATAAAAATGTGGCGTTGGGTTTTCACTATTAACATTATGTACAATCCAGCCCAACAAGAAGGGCCTGCCCCCCACCATCCTGGCCCACAAGCCAGAGCCCTGGGACACCAGGGTGGGAGGGTGACCCACAGGGTCTGGCAGGAACAGATGAGGCAGGGTTCCAGGCACAGAGTTCCCAGGACTAGGGGCCAAAGGCCCCCCCAGGGGGAGAACATGGCCACTGCCCCAGAGACCCCTAAACTGGGGAGGGGTGCACATAGGGCAGAAGGGGAAGTCCCCACTAACATGAAGCAGAGGGCTATTCAGCCCCCAAGAATAGCATCTATACAGGCTGGTACCCCAGGTTTCCACAGGAAACAGCTGCTGGCAGCTACAAAACATTTACAGCTTCTTCTCCGCAAAGAAAAAAAAAAATTAAGAGGGTGGTTGGGCATGGGGCACAGGGGAGTCAGAAGTTACCTCAAAGGACTGAGGCTCCCTTGCTGGGCTCAGGGCCCCTATCCCACATATGGAGATGGGGGCATGTGGGCCGTGCTGAGCCCACTAAGGCTGGGGGTGCTGGGAGCGTAGGGCACCAGAGGGGAATAAATAGGGGTGAGGGCACCAGTCCTGCCCCACCTCAGTTGAGGGAGCCGCGGCAGCTTTCAGTGCCGCACAGACACGGGATCTTGTTGTCCTCCAGTGGGAACTTGTAGTCGTAGGTGATCTCCTCATCCACGCCAATGGGCTGCTTGGAGTAGATCACAATCTTCTTCTGAGACTCGATGGTGATCACCTTAGCGTAGCAGTTGGGCTGCAGGAGGGGCAGTGTAAGCCGCAGCCCCACCTCACCCCTGCCCAGCCCAGCCCTGGCCCAGCCCTGAGCGCACCGTGCAGCAGTGGTTGATGAACCTGGCGAGGTTGCCACACTTGGTAGCATCAATGATGGTATCGTGGTCCACCCGGAAAAGGTAGCTGCTGCCAATGCCCTCCTGCACGTAGCGCTTCTCCCGCATGTCGGCTACCATCTGGGAAGATGAGATGCACACACACCATGGACATCAGCCACTGTATGGGCTAGACCTACTGCCAGCAGCCCCCTGGCCAAGCCAACAGCTCCTGGCGCCATGCTGATTGGATATGCATCTGGATCTACCTGCTCCTACCCATTCTGACCCAAAGTCAGCCACAGGCCTGGGGAAACTGGCACCGAAACTAGTTCTTCTGAGAACCCGTGTGACCACAGTGGAGCCCACAGTATGCTGTGGGCCTGGGGCGGCTTCTGAAATGGCAGTGGCCATGCCTCCAATTGAGTCCTTTCCTAGGACTACCCTTCCCAAACAGACACCTACTGCGCAGCTGGTGAGAGCAGATGGCAGATGGTCTGTGCGAGGACAAGGGCCTTTCAGCAAGGGGCAGCTATTCCCAGGAAACAGGCAATGTGTTTGCCACTCTCACTGGGGGACCTCACCCCTTTGCAGAGTTCTAACCACCAACTCTGTAGTGAGGACTCCTCCCAGGCTTCAATCTCCAGCCAAGTCCACCTCAGTAGGACTTGGGACTGTGGGATGTCATTCCTACAACCCTAGGACCCTGAGCCTCACATCTATCTGCACTGGGACAAATTCTGATCACATTTCTGTTCCTTCTGCTGCTCCCAACCACTTTCCTAGAAGCTAATGAAGATGCCTTGAGAAAGACCTCAACACTTTATTTTTACCTTCTACAGCCAACTACCTGGTTCTGTCAACCATTCTGGACCCACAGACTAGACTCCCGTCACCCTGTTGCCAGTATCTCATCCATACCTTGGCTTTGATCTCCATTAAGCCCCACTGAGGCCAGCCCACACAAGCTCTTTTCTACACAGCCAGAGGGCTCTTACTAGCTTCTCAAGTCCTTGCCTACACAGCTTCCAGGATATTCCCCATCCATAGGCCACACTTGACTGACAGGGTTCCAGCTCTGAGGAGTGGGCTCCACTTGCATTCCCAGACTCACATCCCCGTCACTGGCCCTGAACAGATGCAGCGGCCTCGTCCTCCTCAGAGGATCAGCTTCTGGCCTGTGCACACACTGTCCCCAGAACTGGGGCATATATATGCAGCTGCCCAGGAGTTCATTACCTTTAGCTTTCAGGTCTCTAGAAGGTTCTGGGTCCTCACAACACCTTCAACCAGGTGGACCACTAACGTCTAATTTACTGGGTAAGTCTCAAAGCTGGGCAGTGGCAGTAATGAGTGAGGCTTTGTACAAGAGATCAGACGGTGGCGTGAAATCCCATGCTGTAGTCCAGGCAGCAACGGGGCTGGTGCTGGAGTGGAACCTTACCTGGCGGATGTTCTGGCCAACATACTCTATCACCATCTCATCAGCTGCAATGGGTTCCATGGCAAACAGACCCCACTCATGGATTCGGCTCCGGCCAAATCGGAGTTTCTTCTTCCGGAACTAGGGGACAGAAGGTAGCTTTAACTGTTAGATGCTCCCACAAACTTGTCCCTTCCCTTCCCTTCCGCCTCCCCGACCACAGGACCCTGCTGGGGCAATCTCTTTGCTGTCGTTTGTTTCACTGGGTCCCCTCCCTCCTCCAGTTCCCCCTCCTGACCTTGAGCTGGTTTAGCTTTAGCAGATCACTATCCATGATGGCTGGGGTGCCAATGGCGCTCAGTAACCGCCGCTGCTCTGACCGTCGCTCAGAAAGCACCCGATTAGTCCCCTGTGAGCAAGACCAGGAGGTGGTGAGTACTTGAAGGACAGGAAGGAGGCAGCAAGCTAGGGCTGGGGTAGGGCTCTACCTGAGTGTCCACGCCTTCCAGCTGTCGGGCTGAGACAGGGCACACATCCAGGTACTTGTCCTTCTCTTTCTTGCTAATGGGGTAGTAACCTTCGCTGCGTGCAGAGCCTGTCTGGTGCTCCCGAGGCCCATCTTGGGGCCTTCGCTTGCGCTTTGGAGTGCTTAGGTTGGTGAGTGCAGGGTGTTAAGGAAGAGAACAGGTTCCCTACTGGCCAGTCCCTTGGGGCCCATACCTCCTGTCCACCCCAGACCCAGCCTACAGGGTAGCAGGTCCGATGGTGAGAATACTCAGGAGACAGACTGGAGAAGGCAAGTCTAGACCTTCCCTGTTCTGCCAGAAGAGACACAAGGCAAAGGGAAAAGACAGCTGGCAGCTAGAGGACAAAGCTAATCGAGGCAGTGAGTTAGACAGACAGGAGACCAGTGCAGTCCTGGGAGTGCCCTGAGGATGACATTTCTGCCCACATAGCCCCAGGGAAAACTCATCCCCGCCCTCTGTCCTGCTCGAGGGTGCAAGCAGGCTCTGTGGCTCAGGATATTTGTGTGATGGACCCAGTGGGTGTCATTAAGCCAGTCAGCCCCACTGGTCTGCTGCAGCAGTCGCTCATACGTCAGCCGCAAGTAGCTCATGTCTTCCAAGTCCAGGCCTGAGTTCCAGATGTCATACAGGATGGTCATCTGCTCAAATTCACTCCTTGGCTCAAAGGAAGGAGGCGGTGGGGGTGGGGGTGGGAGTGGTGGCCGTCTTCGTCGAGTGTGGGAGCGGAGGCTACGTCTCCTGATAGCCCCTTCCTCATCACTGCTGCTGCTGCTGCTGCTGCTTTCTGAAGACTCGGACTCCTCTTCCTCCTCCTCTTCCTCCTCCTCCCCTTCCTGCTCTGGACGCTGCTGCTGCTGCAGCTGTTGCTTTGGCTCTTCTGCCTCAGCCACCACCACCTCAGGGGCCTCCAAGACTTCATCAGCTGGGGAGCTGAAGAGTGCAGCAGGGGCAGGAGCTGGCTCTAGGGGCCGAGGTGCTGGTGTGGCAGGCGGGGGCTTGATGGCCAGGGCATAGTTGTGTTCCAAGAGGATGTGGCTGAGTAGAGGGCTTGGACGCTCAGCCTCGTCTGAGGTCTCTGTGGCCTCTGAGTCGTCACCAGTGGGGAGGGTAGCCAACCCACGCCGGGCTGGGGTCAGGGCTAGGTCAGCCAGCACTGCCAGATCCACTTCTGTCCCTGACTCAGTGGCCTCTTCTTCTTCAGTAGAGCGGACACGACCTCCAGACCGATTCCGACCTCCTCGGGCCACCTCCTCAGGCCAACTCTTAACCAGAGACGCATGGTCCAGGGGCAGGTTACGAATGGTCCGCTCCACAACCCGAGGGACTTTTCGAGAGACTGGGCCAGGAGACTTGGCCTGCAGTGGGGCAGCTGGGGGAGGCTCTGGGGCTGGTGCCTCCTCTGTGGCAGAGAAGGAGACAGTTTTCCGGCGTTTCTTGGGTGGGGGTAAGAGAGGGATAGGAGAAGAGGGGCGCTCATCCAGGCGGGGGGCAGGGTCTGGAGGTCCAGCTGGTGGCTCTGGAGGAGGCTGTGGTATATTAGGAGGTGGTTCCTCAGCAGTACCTGGGGATGGAAGCCCATGGGCAAAGGCCAACCTCATCAGACAAAACTGTCAGGGCTGTAGACCTGGGCTCAGCTATACTGGAATGAAGCAGCCTTATTTCATTTCTACCCCACTCTGCCTCAGCTTCCACCTAGTACACTCCTGCTGACCTATACACATACCTGCTTACACAGCGGACTCTGTCTTTCTCCTGCCCATATCATTCTCAGAACTGTGTGCTCCCTGAGCAGGATAGGGCTCTGTACCTGTCCATTATTCCAGCTGACAAGCATATACTGAGTCTGGTCATGTCAAGTATGGAGAAAACTCAGAGCAGACAGATAAGAGCAGGAAGCCTCCATTCAAATGGAATAACCAACCAAACCAAATGTCTAGCCAAACTAGGGAACTGGGGAGGGAAAGACTCCCACGAAATACTGGGCTTCTAGACTAGAAGAGAACACATTCCATGACTCGATAGTTGTGGGCTCAGAGCTTTTACATCTGGCTCTACCATTTTCAGAACTAAGTGGAAGCCAGTACCACGTCTGGCTGGGCAGGCAGTGATCAGCTGCACACACTGCCTTAAACTGAGT